TCCACAAATGGAATTGTTAAGCGTCTTTTCCCCCCACCAAAAAAGAAGAATAAGAATTCAGTGAGAATCAAAATCTAAAATAAGCGTTATTGCAGAGTGGCTTCTTTGCTCCCTCTTTTCATATCGATTGATCATGTGTGACGAATGTTACATATAAATTCCATATGAATGACTTTGTATCACAATTTTTCATGATCATGATCACACAGAGCGTCGCACGAAGACTTGGCATCCATTCCTTTACGTCCTGTGTGTGCATTTTTGCGCTCATCACTGGGATTTCTTCACATCTCCCCCCATATAAATACACAACTTTGAAATCTGCGACTGAAAAAACATTCCATATAGAGTGAGAAACCACAAGGAAAATCCATACGCTAAGAGCCAATCAAGCAAGACAAAATTGATGTAATAAATTGTTCTAGATTAGACAAAGAACTGTGATTTTTTCCAGTCTTCCCCTCGACAATGCAATAAAAATAATAGAACATAAACATCCTCAATTATCTTTTCAATCCTCCTCTTGGATATATTTCTATCCAACCATCTCTATATTACTCATATGAAGAATAAATAAACATTAGACAATCCAGGGAACGGAAAAAAGTACAAGAGACCAAGCCCTTGACTTTGTTGAGATTTCTCGCTCACTAGACAGCGTGTGAGAGGGACAAGATGACAGCTCAGAGAAGAGCAGCAATGTGACACACTTATATCAAGTAGTGAAACATAAAATTACTAAATATCGCAATATGATAATCATTTAAAAAATTACACGTTTTCCCTCAATCAATCCACTCGATAAGTGCGTTGGAAAAGTACACAAATACTTTTTGCATCGTCAGAGGAAGAGAGAATTATTGCAAATTTATAAGTATTATTGGATTTGCAAACCAAAAGGTGCACATTACGTGTATTGAAGGAGACGCAGAGGGAAATATAAAGTCTGTAATTTGCATAAAGGTTTGGCTTCACACCGACAAAAAGACGCAAGCGTTTCTTTGCCTCAGTTGTCTTATTTGATCCACCACACATTGTAAAACCACGAATAACACTCTCGATCTCATTTCTCGAACACCACAAAAGAAAAGGCCAAATCGTGGTAAAAAATTTGGCAATATTTGCGTGGTATCTTGATTATTCAAGGTCGTTGAATTTTTAAATAAATCGCTCCAATAAATATTCCATTCTAGGAAAGAATTATGCAATGAAACGGCAAAAAAACAGATCCCGTACAAACAGTGCCAATCAAGATGTTTAATTTACACTAATTAAATAATAATCCAAGTTATTCGATTTCTAAAATTCGAAGAATTTGAAAAACCATGCAACGGATTTTTTCTCTAAAATTCTGATGGAAAATAAGTAAAAAAAAATACACCTCGTTTGAATCCTATTATTAACTTCCAAATTACTTTCCAACACACCAAAACTGCTCAATGATCATGCATTTGATCTCCAAGTGTAGCCATTCTATCTTAATACAAGGCGAAAAAACCTCTCTAAATGCCGCCATCAGTACAATTTCTTATTTATGTGCCTCTTCCTGTTGAGAGCTCAACAAAGAAGAATACTTCTGGGAATGACCAAGAAAACAAACACTGCTGCAAAGTGAAAGGTGAGAGCTCTGCAATGTCTTGTATCATCAGATAGCGTGGACAGGAGAGATTTATACAATTTACTGATAAGAGGTGAAATCTATATGAATCAAACCATTCTAACCATTGAGCGCAACCCTATATTATAAAGTAGCTGCACGAATATGAACGTTCAATTAATATCTGAGACGACGGGTGAATTTCAATAAAACCACTGAGTAAACGTGGCGCTTGTTAAATATTTAAAGAACACTTTTTCTCTCGTTTAATACCACACTCTACATACAAATGTAATTTCTGTGTCTCCACTCTTGCCTTTAAAAATCATCCATCCACGATAGTGAATCATCGCGCCGACATTTGTTTAAATGACTAAACCAAAACTGGATTGTGAGTTGCGAAAAATCACTCTGTGCAAATTGTTCAATTCAATTTTGCACTTTACACCTTATTGGAAGTGCACTTGAGTATACATATATGTGGATTAAAGAAACCTCAACAATGTATTGCCAAGAATTGAGCACTCCAAATCACTGAGAATATGAATGGACAGAAAATTAAATATCAATAAATAGGATTAACTACAGAAAGCGACAAAGTAATCAAACAATCAATCGGGATTTAAGCTGCGGAGAAAAAGCAAACCATGCAGACGGAATAAATATTTGAATAAATCTATCATCACAGATATTTTCCATCACCTTATTTGTCCCCAAGACTCTCCCCTCAAATGACATTCTTTTTTTTTGTTTCAGGAAATATTCAGATTCTACACAGTTCTCGAAACATTTCCTCCCAACTAATCCCTTTGTTCACAACTCCCCATCTGACTCACTTCCATGCCCAATCAGTTGAAAAGCGAGCCAAGTTGAATTATAAATCATAAAAAAGGCATGATGCTTTGAACTCCCAAGGTCCGCGCATGGAGAGAAAGACCCAAAGAGCCAAAGAAACTCCGGTTGTTAACCATTTTCACAACAATATAATAATGAACGTGCAGAAGAGGACAAAAAACACACCATCGTTTTTCTTCCTTCGCAACGTGATTCAATGCATGATGACGGTTTTTGCATACACCCGAGAAATCTCTTTCGAAATGAAACTCCAGTGCGAGTGCAAAATCTTCTTAGTCTCTCCTGTTTCCAATCTATACAGCACCAGTGTTTGATTTCACCTCCAAACGGAAATACCATCTTCAGCATCAACAAACAACAAAAGAACACATCCACAGAGATATGAAATTCGAGACTTGACCAAGAGAGATATTTCTCAAGAATTTCACAACACTCCTCAATCGATGCCTTAATACCATGTTTGTACATTGAAAATATCAAATTGGTATTTATAATAATTAAACAGACATAAATCAAACGATTAAATTCTATGATGTTTTAAAAATATTAACTCGAGAAAATTGTAAAGCGACTCTGTGTTGGGAAAAAAACCTCCAGCGATTGAAATGAGAGTAAAAAAGAACGATCCATTTTTATATCAAGAGATTATGTGAAAAATAACAACACCAGTAAGCTTAAAGACCGGAAACTTTGAGTGATTAGAAAATTAAATAACAATAATGTGTGGAATTTAATACAGTGAATAACTCTCACTACCCATGTTGAGTCAGAGAATATTTCTGCTCAAACAATGCAACACCTTAAAACTGCGCAGGATTGAAATAAATAATAATAAATATTCGGATTAACATATCTTATCTACAACTCTTCTCATGATTCATGAAAATGTGCTACTCACAATGATTTCGTAATTCGATTTTCAAGTAGTTTATCGCTGCTTACGATTTTTTAAGAGTTAAAGCAAGACCAGACCAATGCACCTGATCAGATAGGTTCCAAACTGAGTCACACCACCGTGAAAATAGACAAACCGAGGAACGAAGGCGTGAAAAGTATCACTTTGATTTAAAGCGCTATCAAGTGATAAGATGCACTGTGAGAAACAGTCACCATGAGCTTATTTCCTCTCTCTCGCTGATAAGGAATTGAGAGCGGTGTCTGGTAAGGAGCCATCAATAAGACCGATCAAAGAAATACACTTGGCCACAGCGAGAAGCCACGAAGTCGCTGACCGCTGGATGGCATTCTCGTGAGATTCCCCCACATTCCATATCGAGTCACAAAAGGCCAAAGAGAGGAGGAAAAAATCACTGGAATTCTATCAAATGCATTTCCATAATCAAGGTCTCGAGAGTGGCTCTTTTTGTGCTATTGCTCGACTCGGATGGCGAGACGTTTTATGTTGGAGTGATCGGACTCCCCCGCATTCTGCAGCCCACTCTTGGATCCGATTGTTCAATAGAACCCCTCGCTCTCTCTCTCTCTCCCCACCCGCCGCCCAGAGAGTATTGCAAATCCCAAGTCATAAGAATTTCTAGCCAAAGCCAGTTAAAACCTTGGCGTTTTTTTGTGCTAACAAAGTGAGAATTCAAGACTCTTTCTTGCCTTTCTATTTGCTTTTCGCAATCACTTGTGGCTTCCTAATGGCATTCCGGCCACTCTTCCTCGCCAATTGCCCAGCACTCCAGGAGATATTTGCTGAATATTCAATTAATTCTGAGGCGAGTGTTAAGTGGCGTTTTGGGCCACTTTTCTCGGACACTGACTGCGGCTTTCACCCAGATCCTCGGGCGTTCTCATCATCATCAATTTGCTGGGTGATCGAGAGGGGCCCACTTCTGGCCAGCATTCCAGATGATTGTGGCCTGGCTCTCAGGTTGTTTTCCATGCAAATGAGACTCCGCGACGACCACGGGTGAATCTTAGAGCTAACGGTAACGAAATATCTGAGATGTGGCCACCAGAAGCTGAGAGCAATCAGGTTCTGGATACCCGGACAGATCACCAACACACAAAAGACCCCTCCACGGGCCAAGCCATTGCTCTGCCGTGGAATTTCCCCAATCTGCATCCTCCCAAGGATGCCAACGGTGATCCTACTGGAACAAAGTGCCCCCAAGATAGCTTCCCTGTCACGCGACGGCTGGAAAAACACCCCGGGGCCCCCGGATCGCGAAAGAGAGGGTGCAAAGAAACAAAAACACACTTACTTGCTCGCATTTTTGGCGTTGTCCGCGAATCCCACCTGGAAGTTGGTTGAAGTCATCTTGAGCACCTGTTTCACAACACTTGCAGCAAATTCTCGTGATGTTTTTAATGTGAAAGTCACGCGAATGTGGGAAAATCCACCAAAGAATTTGTCGTTATGAAGTCAAAATTGAGAATGAGAAAAACGGGCGACGCACACTCAAACTGACAATTGACATTCCACCAGAATGAGATGGCAATATCGAAATCCCGAAATGAAGAGTGCCACACTATACAACCCACAGCCCTCCATGAGACGGATATACAAATTAGAGCGAGACAGAGATAGCGATCCTGTGACTTTCTGACAGCATTACTGCGTTGGTTCCGCGTCTTTTGGATTTCTTTTTCGTGGTCACGATTTTCCAGCAGCAATTTCCGCGGGAAGCAGCGCGAAAATGCTGAATCAGGTCGCCGTGGAGGCGCTGTATTCAGCTACCTACGTGGAGAACTATTTGGACTCAGTGGAGAACCTCCCGGACGACGTGCAGAAGTATCTGTCGCGAATCCGGGAGATTGACGTGCAATTCCGAGGTGAATTCTGAGACTCTCGTGCAACATTTTGACCAACTATACTAATCAGTTCTTCCATTTGCAGCCCATCTACGTGATTCTGACTACTACTATGAGCAGTGGTCAAACTGCTCCACCAGCGAACTGGAGTCTGCCAATGCCAAGAGATCTCGTGCCATGGCAAGGATTCAGCAGAGCTTCATTGCCTCCCAGGAGCTTGGGGATGAGAAGCTGCAGATTGTAACGCAACTTCAGGAGCTGATTGACCAGAAAACACGTCAGCTGGAGCACGATTTCAAGAATCTAGGCAAGAATACTCAAGTTAACCTCAATTCCCACCTCAATATTGACCTTCCGGACATTCTCTTCATTGCAGACTACGGAAAAGACGACCCAATTAATGATACCGTGGTGAAGGAGCCTTGCAGGATACCCAGTCCTACGATGAATCTTAGCATTTCGGGGCTCACCACAGCTCAGCAAATGTTTGTGGCATCGCCTGTGGCAGCCAGTATCTCAGGATCCAGCTCCACAGCCATTCGGGAGAGCTTCAGTGGGTCCAACAGTAACGGGGAGCGTGCCTCCAAACGCGCCAGACGCACCAGGGCAGACACACTGGTGGGCGCAGCTGATACCTCCGTCTCTGACAATAATCTCAGCACAAGTGACGCGGTTCCGGCGAAGCAGAGCAGCAGCACTGCCCAGAACGCTGGAGCTGTGCAGAAGAAAGGCGCCGGACAAGCTGGGAAGAAGAAAAAGCGCAAAGCCAGGGGCACTCAAGGTGGCAACAATCAGACTCGCGATCGTGATGACACTCCACCTCCGGAAGAGCCCATTGACCCAGATGAGCCCACGTACTGCCTCTGCGATCAGGTGAGGAAAGCATCCAAGGGCTGAAATGGAAGAAAAACAATTAATTGATGCATTTTTTTGGGAATCGATACTAAAATGAATCGCTTTTGCAGATTTCATTCGGTGAGATGATCCTCTGTGACAACGATCTCTGCCCAATCGAGTGGTTCCACTTCTCCTGTGTATCTCTCATGTCCAAGCCGAAGGGCAAATGGTACTGTCCCAACTGCCGTGGCGATCGACCCAACGTGATGAAGCCGAAGGCGCAATTCCTCAAGGAACTGGAGCGCTACAACAAGGAGAAGGAGGAGAAAACATAAGCTCCAGCGATCGCTTCTTTTACAATATAATTTATTTCAGTGTCATCTACAATTAGTCTTTTCTTTCATCCCTAAAAATACCACCCTGGGGGCAGGAGAATGGAGGAAGAAAGTCTAGAGATGGACCACAAGAACTCCCTAACGGGATCTGCAATCGGGAGAATTGGCAAGTATCCATTCGCGTCACAGTGAGAGAAGGTAAAAGTTGAATAACCTGGAGAAGCATGCAGAAGATTGCGAATATCGGCAGATAAGGTGCGGATCGCTGAGATGCTCGCAGAGGGAGTATAAATCCATTCGCCAAGAGATTCGAGATCACACGAATTTTTTTTCGGGAGAATGCGCGAGTTTGAAAATAGCAACTCTTGCTGATAAACGGTTATACAAACAAGAGAATCTCTTTTATTGGGCGAGAAAAGGTGCGCTCTTGCGAAGCACTCACCTCTGCGCTTGTCGTTTGACCACCGACCAGAGGAAGAGCATAAAAGGCACCAGCAACAGACACTCGAGCACCATTCTCTTGTTTGTTCTTCTTGCAAGATCATCTGCAAGTGCCGTTCAAGTGATCATTATGGTGAAAAGTGGCAGATTGTGTGAGTATTTCCTATTTAATTGCACTTAAACACCCTTTTCCTCATCCTAAATGAGCCTCTCGTTGTCCTGAGAATGTCCATCTTGTGGAAAATTCCAGAATGAAAAGCCAAGTTGTCTCAAAAAATCGCCATACAAATTCCGTTATGTGACTGAGAGTCACAAAAGAACTTTTGATCTTTTGGGAGTGGAAAACTCGGGACCGTTACATGGTTAGTGGTACAGTGCAAATTGATAGTGTGTCTCTTCTCTTCTCTTCCAGTTCTTCTCATTGCCACTGCCAGCATCGCCTGGGCACTCCCCAATCGCGACGCCAAGACAGTTGGGCAGGAGAGAAATGCAGCCGGAGTGGCCACCAACATTGTGACCTCGACTATTCTGAAGGGCAACATTGAAAATCACGAGAACTTTGTCTTCTCCCCACTTGGATTTTCCTCCATCCTGGCCATCCTCAGCGAAGGTGCCCGAGGGAAAACCTACGATGAGATCAATGAAGTCCTCAGACAGCCCAGCGATCGTCTGAGAGGTGAATTACTAAATCTTAATTACTATAATTACAATTATGATGAAAGCCGGCGATATCAAATTTTTCGGGAGGTGTTTTTTTTTTAAATCAATGCTCAATTTGATTTCACAATCTGCGTGCTTTCCAGTGAGGGAAACCTACAGTGATGCTCTGAAGAATCTCCAGGGGGAGAATCCCAAGTCCGCTCCTCAGTTTAAAACCTGGTTTTACGTCTATCGCAATAACACCGCCGAGGAAGACTTCAAGGAGCTCCTGAGGAAGTGTTACTTCGTCGACGTAAGAGACATCGATCGATACCACTACGATTACGATGATCCCCCCAAAACGTCAGAACCCATTGAGAATAGCAAGGATATTCCGAATTTTGAGGACCTGAAGAAATCTGAACCGGCTGATGCTGCCAAATCCGAAGTTTTGCCTGAGAAGAAGGACAAAGAGACAGAAATCTCAAAGTTCGACAAGGAGATCGACGATCAGCAATACGTTGAGGTGCCGGTAATCAAGGAGCACCTGAAGAAAGAGACTAAGAAAAAGTTGGATGAGCCAGTGAAGAAGAGCGAACCTGAATTGAAGAAACTCGAAGATCTGGAGATTCTCCAATTCGCTAAGCAGAACCCAGTGACAAAGAAGTCGGAGGCTTCCGGTCGCACACTCTTCGAGAATGACGTGGCTTCTGCCCTGAGTGGAAATTCCCTGGTGGGTGAGAAGACAAGTCCCAAGAGTGAGGCTCCAGCTGAGAAGTATGAATCGAAAATGCTCCTCTTCAACGGGCTGTACTTCCGCGGCAGCTGGGGTGTGCCGTTCCAGCAGCTGAGGTCTGATCCCGAGGATGTCTTCTACTGCTCCGAGACTGAGAAGAAAGCTGTGACCATGATGAGATCCAGAGGAAACTTCCGATATGCTGATTGTCCCAAATATAGCAGTCAAGTCATTGAACTTCCTTATGAGGTAAAAAGCTGGACATTTTGGTGAAATGCCAAAAACTATATCAAATCCATGGCACTAATCATTTCTGTTGCAGAACGATCGCTACTCTCTGCTGATCTTGATGCCCAATGAAAAAGAGGGCCTCAAGAAACTCATCGCAGAATTCAATGCTGATATATTTGATGAAATTGTCTCACATCTTAAGGAATGCAGCATTGAGCTGAGTCTCCCGAAGTTCAGTTTAGACACAACCAGTCGTGCTGAGAAACACTTGGCCAAGGTACTATCTTATCTCTTCCGCTGCGTCCATTAAGAATACTTTCATGAATTCCTTTCTCTGCAGATGGGCCTGATTACACTCTTCACGTCAAAGGCCGATCTCAGTGGTATTTCTTCATCGCAAAAACTCCATGTGGACGAACTCGTTCAGCATGTTTCGATCCGAGTCAACGAAGGTGCCAGCAGTGAAAACTCCCTGACCGGTTTGTATTGCCGTGATCTTCTTGATCACCCACATTTGTCTATTTTCAATTTCTTTGCAGCCGCCAATGCCGTTCGGCCCAAATCCAGCGACAACACGGAGAAACTCCTCACCATCGATCGACCATTCTTGTTCTTCGTGCGTGACCATGTGGACAACTTAACTGTGGTCGCCGGCAAGATCACAAGTCCACCCAATGCAGAAGGTCAGACTTTGCTCTGATTCCCTTTGGCGTGTGATATGATAAGATCGATAAAATGCATTTCAGCGGCACTTTGGATGCATTATTGACTGTCTCATTGGATGACGATTGAATGCGATTGATCTTATCCTTCAATGAGGATTTAATTGTATCCAATGCTTTTGCATTATATTATCAACACTCTCTCCAAACATCACATCACTTTTCTACACATAACGTTTTACATTATTATTTTTTCTAAGAAAATACATCAAACAATGATGGTTTAATAAACAATTATAAACAAATTTTATCGCAATTTATTATTTATTTGTAAACACTTGTTTAGGGATTCTATTGATGGTTGAGTATGAAGGCAAAAATCCCTTAAACTTCTCTTTATTCTAACATGATCACAGTAGTTAAATAACATGCATTGAAAATTAAAATTGAATATGAAACATTAAAATTGAATATGTTTTCAATTTTTAGAAATGATCTTCTCTCTTGAAAGATGACTGAAGAATGCATTCAAACTCTGACGATGTCAAGGAACTTGATAAGTTTTTAGACAAAAAATGCAGAGGAAAACCCAATCAAATTCAAATCTTCTCTTCTTCACTTCACATCTAGAGAATTTCGGGACTTCTTTTAATGCCAAATTAATATGAATCTTTTCAATATGAAAATTACTTTCCCTAGAAAATTACCTTCTCTCTCTTTGTTTATTTGGGCATTTTAAATTCTCCGCGGTCCGTTAGAGGAGTGACTATTTGGAAAATCCAAAAAGAGCAGCTGATAATTCGTGTGAGAAAGTGGCAATAGTCATTTTCTGAAATCTTTCGGGAGTTCCACGAAATGTCGAACATTTACAGTATTCACAAGTCCAAATCTCTGTGAAAAATTAGTGTGAAAAACCCCCACAAGATTTTTCTGCGAAAAGTGATATTTTTTTGTCCTGAATATGCTTTGCAATAAATCAGCATCGGGACTGTGATCCGCGGTCAAATTCCGAATAGCTCCGGTCGAAAGATCACACAATTCCCGGCCATGCGCAAGACGGAGGCGAGTGTGTATGAATATTGAGTGTGCAGCATTGCTCCAGCAATGTCCATAAATTGAAGTGAAGAGGAAGGAGAAGTTGTATTATCGATGACGTACTCGGAATCTCCAGAGTCTACTGGATCAGCCATAGTTTCACTTGTGTGATCCCCACCTCGAGCGCACACCAAGATCGCTCTTGCTGCTGCATAAGAAAAAAATTCACGAGACTCTCGAAAACAGGTAAATACAAGAGCTCGGACTTTGCGTGTGTTGAGTGATTTTTCTTGCTCGACCACATTGAACTCTCCAGCCTGGGTGATTCTTGGGTGAGACAACGAGCTCTTCAAGTGAACTCCCAACAGTATGAGAATCGAGGCTCGGGCGGACAGTCGGCAAGTGTTTTGTGCTCTCCACCAGCAGACCCTGAAAACTTCCTCAAGGCCCCCACTTTTTGTGCCAATCTTCGCAAGAGAGACAATCTGCAGTGTTCAATTGTGTGATTCGGTTCAGTTTAATTGACTGCACAGCCTCAGAAAAAGCGCAATCTGTGAAATCTCAAGCTCTTCCATATGAATAAATCACTGTGACGACTCTCGCGATCATTCAAGTGACACCGTTTGTAGTTGAATATCCGTGACAAGATCATCGAAGGCGGAATGGATGGAATTAAAGTAATCTTAGGTACGCAGTAATGAAAAATTTCCCCAACATGACTAACACTACACAGCGTCAGATAGTCCCATTAGTGGGCATTAAAAAGGCAATGATTACATAAAATTCTTCTTGTGTGCTTGGGCGCTTTGCAAAAACTGCACACACGCGCTTCTCGAAATCGGGTCCCAGAATAGATTTGATTTGGCCAACGCAAAAAAATCCATTTAATTCATTCAAATCCATATAGTTTGCCAAAACAGGTTTCCACCCAAGTGTCTTCAAATGCTATTTCCACGTTTATTAACAACTAAACACAGTCACATAGTTGTCGGGAAGACACATTTGCACAAGACGTGCGAGTGAGAGACAATGAGATGGAGTAATTTATGCTCTCATGACACACATGTGTTGAAGTTGAAGAAATTCAAGTTTAGAGAGATTTCTGAGGGTTTTCCCCACAAAATTGCCTGAAACATCGATTGTAAAAACAAATACAAACATCAATTGAAGTTCGCTCGCGCTCGCACTCAGAGCAACTTGTCGCCTCTTTGAAGCTTTTCTGTTGTTTTGTTTTGAGCACAAGATCCTCGTTGTTCTTCTAATATAATTCTACACAAAAACACTTAATTAAACTTGCGAAAACATTCCGGATATGACTATAAGGACATTTCTTATAATTCACTTAACACATGCATCAAACTATCAATAAGATCGTGACGCTTATTTAGGGCTATCGAATGTTGATAGTGAGTGAGGGCTTGGAAAAGTGTAAAAATCTTTATAAATGAAGGCCATAAATCTGAGAAAATCTTATCTTTTGAGAAGAACGCAGAAAAGTGGAAGTTCTAACCAGTTTACATTGGTTATCTGGGGATTTTTCCCCATCTTCCCGCTTCCCATTTATTATATTAGTGAATCTCGATCAGAATTTTTTTACAAACTCATTGTGGGGTGTTAATAAATGATTAAAAACATACATCAGTTAAGTAATCAACAACACTTAGTTTACAAAACGATTTGTTTTTCTCTACAGCCATTCTTGGGATCATGTGTCTCACGCTCGCCCATGACGTGGCTGATTTGGACGACAGACTGATATTTCCGGGGGAAGTGAGTATCCCTGAGCATTCGCCAGCTTACAAATCCTCAATAACTTCGCGCCAAACCAGCGGTTCCATCAGTGACATTGTGATAACGCAGCAGAATGAGCAGCAAGACCAAATTAATAAGTATCTCTCCTCGGGGGCTTTCCCCCTGCCCAACACACCACAGAAGCCCCAGCAGCCCCCGCAGGGTGCCTTCAGGCCACAATCCCCGAGTGAGCAATTCGAGGCGGAACAACAGAGACACAGACTCGAGCAGGAGAGAATCCAGCAGGAGCAGCAGCGATTCCAGGAGGAGCAGCGAATCCGCCAGGAGGAGCTGCACCGCCAGCAGGCTCAGAAGCAGTACTTCCCGCAGCCGGCGGAGCAGAAATCTCCCGGTGCTGGCGGGGAGAACTATATCGATCCCCTGAACTTCCAATTGCCGCACACACCGAATCGCATCACGCAGCGGCCACACCAGGCGAGCGAGAGTGACGCGATTACCTCCTTTGCCTGGAGATTATTCAAAGTAAGTAGAAAGTGACGAGATATGGAAATAATTTTGTGACTCGAGCAAAAATTGTGTGCTATCGACGGGCTGTAGTGTATTGCGTCTTTTCATTTTACACTGGAAGCGATGGGAGATAACTTTTATGTGAGGTTTTTCAATTGGTTACCAAATATATGTATAATGTAAAAATATATATGTATTAGAACAGTATTAGAAAATAATCCAGATAGGAATATCTTTCAACTCTTTTATGGTAAAGAAAATAACAATCTTTTCATGAAAGTGAAGATCGATAATAATTTATCAGTCTGATGTAATTAATCACATTAAGCACTTCTTATAAAAATGTTTATAGTGCAAACTTTGTGATGTCAGAATATGTTTTCTATTATATAGCTTATTAAGCAAATATTTCCAAATTCAAGAAATACCTTGACAAATACATTGGAATAAACAAGCGTTGTCTCATCTTTTTCCATCTAACTACATAATTTAATTAGCTAAAACGTGCCACTAATTACACGAGTCATAAATCTAAGAATTTAATATTACTCAAATACTAAAAATTCTGCTCAATGTGAAGACATTTACTATTTTTATTCTTTTATGCAGGGAATCAAGCCTCCAAATCGGCACACCAACATCATCGTGAGCCCTCTTCTCACCCAATTGTCCCTGTCTCTGCTGGAGGGCGGCGCTGAAGGTTACTCACGAGAGCAAATACAAGCAGCTGTGCAATCATCCCCGGATCTCTTGGCTCATGTTGTGCGCACCCTGAAGAACACCCACGCGACCACGAGCTTGGAATACTCAGCTGCGCTCTTTGTCTCCAACTACCTTAAAATCAATGGATCATTCGCCCAGAGGGCAAAACAGGCTGGCTCAGACGTTGTTCCGGTGGATTTCCCCAATCAATCGGCCGCCATCAAACAAATAAATGGCTGGATTGGCCAGGCGACGCGAAATTACATTCCCAACTTCCTGGACAGCAGTACACAAACCCAAGGAATTGACTTGTTGCTCGCTAATGCTGTCTTCTTTAAGAGCGTGTGGAAATATCCCTTCAACGAGACCTTCAAAGGAGACTTCAACTACAAAGATGGTCGTCGAGGCCAAGTGAACTACATGCGAGTGGCCAAGCACATGAGGACTGGATCAGTCCAGCAAGGCATCTCTGGACCCTCTGGTGGGCTAAGATGGGTGGAAATTCCATATGCGGTACGTGTTAGATCTATTCTCAGCTGCTATTTCCCTGATTTAACCTCTCTTGTTGAGAATGGTAACTTGAATTATATTTTCTCGCCTAGGGAGGAGAATTTTCCATGATCCTGATCGTACCTCAGAACCAAAACACTCTCGAAGAACTCATCAGAGTGATGACGCCGAGTCACTTGGCCAGCATTATCGATGAATTGGAGTTTGCCATGACGCACATTGTGAAGCTGCAGATGCCCAAATTCCATCTCAAGTCACGTGTTGCCCTGGCAAAGTCTCTCCTCGAGGTAAGGAACTGCGTTTTCCTCACTTCTGACATTCTACTGAACAGCAATCATGTATAATTTATTTGTATTTAGATGGGAATCAGCAACATTTTCACCAGCCAATCGAATTTACCCTATATCGCCTTGAACGCTCCAGTGGCCCGGGTTACTGACTGCATTCAGCATGCTGTTCTCAATGTTGACGAATTGGGCACCGTTGCCACGGCCGTGAACAGTTTCTCAGTCATCACGCTCAGCATCAGCGTCCCAGACCCAGAGATTACATTCACCGTGGACGAACCCTTCCTCGCGCTCATTGTAGATAAGAGACAGAAGGTGCCACTATTCATCAGCAAGATCTACAATCCTTGAAACTAGTTTATCCAAAATATATCGCATTTTAAATGTAGATTTGTAGGAGATTAAGCTTACATATGTGAAAATAAATATGAGATTTCACGTGAATGTCTTTCATTTGTACTCTCAGAAAGCGAATATTTGAACAGATTTGTTTGAGATTTCTCAGAATAACATAAATTGTGTAAAATAATAAGATCGTTACGTTTTTCGCCAGTTTTAAATTGAATACCAGCCATGACTTAACTTTACTTCCTTTCCTTGGTATTCATTCTCTTGGTCAGTTACTAATTTTCTCATGAAACATCTTTTCTTTTTAATTACAACAATATTTATTGCTTATTTTAGATCGCGCAGAGTTATGGACTCTCTGCCGAGGAAAAGTGTCATCAAGTCGAACCCAAGAAATCTCCGCAATGTCTACTATTCTGTGTGTCTTACTATTGCGGTTTAGTTGACGTAAAGTTCAATATTGAAGAGAGTCATGTAAGTTTCTGAAGCTTTTTTCGCTTGCATTTTCTTAATCATCTACTCTATCTTTGCAGGTTAAAAGACTCCGTAGTTTTATCGTTGAACACGGCGGAGTTAAAAGGTTAACATTTAATAATAATATAATAATCATATAATAACATTTATTACAGGTGCTGGAAAGCAGCGCCCTTGCAGCTAAAGAGATATATAAGAAAATATATCCCGAGAAAAATAATAAATGTCTTCTTCATTGCGAATATACCTTATACGGCTTCTCTGATGAAGAATTCAATATTACCCTTATTATTTACTATCCCAATACTCTCCCTTATTCTGTTATAATAATGATTCTCCTTTGTAGAGAGAAAACTTGAGGAATGTTTTGGTTGATCTCGGAATGGTAGCAAGTGACAATATCACCAAAGTGGATGAACATCTAAAGAAATGTGCTGCTGAAGCCAAAAGCAAAATGGGAAGCGATGAACAGAACAATTGTCAAAATATTATGAATTACTCTTCTTGTGCGATGAATATACCATAAGATTTACAATTCAAAATAAAAATGAGAAAATACAACAAAATATGAGAAGTTATTCTTCTAATTCTACCGATTTCATATAAACTGCTCTATTCATCATAGAATATAAAATCAGTATGATAAGTATTATTTAATAAATGAAAAGTATTACGAAAACAATTAATTGCACACATTGCTTAATCATTGATATTAAATAAACCATTTTGCAACTATGAAACATAATGTTATCAATATTTGATTTTCATAAGAATTTTGAAATAGAAACTATATTATGTACATGCATTTTCTTCAGATCATACATATGAGACATTCTGTGTGTGCACAGATGTTTAAAATCTGTTAGAATTTTTAATTTTCCCTCAAAGCGTGGGTATAAAACAAGCTTACTGCAAGTTCAGTTACAATAATCTCTTATTAAACACCAATTATGAAGCAGCTAAGTTTCGTTCTTCTGGCGATTACAGCCTTGGTAAGTTAGTGCTTGTGTCCATATGAACGTCTATATTTTTGAATCTAAAATATCGCATAGATCGTGGAAAGTTATGGTGCCACACCCGCCAAGAAATGCAGGGAAGGAGATTTAAGGAAAACTGAAGTGTGTATTCTGCATTGCGAATATTCTCATTACGGTTTCGCCGGCAATAACTTCAAGATCGACGAGAAACATGTGAGTTCTTGAAACACTATCATTCAGAATGTTACATAAATATTTATCTATATTTTCAGACTAAAAAACTCACTGATATCCTAATCCAATATGGTGGCGTTGCAAAGAATAAAGCTAAAGATATACGCAGACATCTGAGGAATTGTGCGAATGAGGCCTTAGCCAGATCAGCTCTAAACAAGGACCAAAAATGCACTAGAGTCATTGACTACTATCGTTGCGCAGTGAAAACTGATCTCTTTAGCTACACTAGTTATGCCACCGCTGTGATTAAATATGATAAAACCATAAATGTTTGAAGATTAATAATAATAAAAGGCAAAAACTAAAATATTGCGAGCAGAAATATTTGTATTATTTCTTATGGAATTTTGAGCGTCTTGAAGTTAATCTTGGCTTTTACAATGATTGAATTTTTACCCGTGCGCAATTCGTAGGTCTGTAGATCTCTTACAATAATGAATTGATGGATTACACAATATTAAACATGTCAAGGTGTAAAGTTCACTTTCTAGAATTTTATTGTCCCAAGAATGGTGATTTTTTGTAATTATTAGCAATATTTAAAACAAAAAGAGTCTGAATCTATTAAATATTTCTTATTAAAATATATAAATAACGATGCTAACAAAACGAACTCTCTAACTCACTCTCTATACAATTTACTTTATGCTCATACTATTTACACAGATTTGTTTAATGTTGAACAGGTTGTGTTAACTATTGCCTAATCATTAAATGTGGGAATATAGTCTTCGACAATTTGATGGAGTATAAAATGCAGAACGTTGCCCATTGCATTTACAGACAATTGGAATTGTTCACCAGGATCACAACTATGAAGCAGTTAAGTTTTATTCTTTTGGTGGTTGCAGCTTTAGTAAGTTTCATGCGTGTTTTCGTCAAGATTTAATAAATGTGTAATAATGAATACATATTACTTTGCAGACATTGGAAAGCAATGCGTCTTCTCCAAAGGAAATATGCGAGAAAAGACACCAAGATGATGATATTTGTGTTACTCACTGTGAATATTCCTATTATGGTTTTACTAATGACGAATTCAAACTAGACGATGAACATGTGAGTTTTTTTTTATAACAAATTTAAATCATTTTTCAATTCTTAATTTTCCTTTTTCTCAGATAAACAAACTGAAGGATGTTCTGCTGAATTTCGAAGCAATTAAGGATAACGAAGTCGACAAGACAGTGGCTCATCTTAAGAAATGTGCAAATGAAGCGAAAGCCAAACAAGCTTCGGACAACACGAGGAAGAATTGTTATAGTATTGTCCATTATCAGCGTTGTGCTTATGTTAATGATATATTTACGTTTAGTGCTTATGATGAAGCAATTCGTAAGAATGCTGCAACTATTTCAATCACTATCAGGAAATAAACATGCAAAACTTTGCAAATCTTGAGCAGAAATTATTGTTTCATTTAAGATAAATTTTCTGACTAGATTTTTTTTTAAATTGTATTGATTATTCTAATCCAGGCTTGACAAAAACTCAAATCTGGTTCTATTTGCATAATTTCACTCTAATTTAATTAAAATAATTATCTTTTGGCAAATATGTAAGTTTATTATGACGGTCTTGGAAATTATACTGGATAGCAACACGATTACATATGTATGGCCTTCTACTTTATTTCCTCTTCATTATACTAAAGTACATATTTGAACACATTTCTTAATTTTTGTACGATTCCTTTTGCTTGATCTGGTAAAAAAACTTTTTATATCTTGAACGTATTGAGTATATAAATTAGCAAGCTTGCAGAGTTTGAGTTGCAGTTTAAATTGTAAAGCTTCAGAAGCAATTATGAAACACGCAAATTTCGTTTTTTTGACAATTACACTATTGGTGAGTTGTTTTTAATAATTGTAATTAAAGTGCTTTTCTTCACATGTCATACGTTATACCAATCAGTTTCATCATTATTTTATTTCGTCATAACATCTGTCTTTCTCTGCAAAAAAGAAAACATTAATACGTGTGCGATAGAGAGTAAAACTTCATAGAGCGTGGGAAAAGGCATTTATTTCAACATCGAGAAGAAAAATAAAAAAAAAAGTTTGCTTCTAAAACAAGGCACAGAATCTGCCTAAGTTTGTCTAGAATAGACTTGTTGTAGAAAAAAAAATATCGAGTAAGTCTTTAATGAAGAGTGTCTTTTTCTGCTTACCTCGAGATTGACAATTTCACTGTTGACGATAAAAGGTACTTATTTTATAACATATTTACTTTTGTTAGATTAAAAAGAACTACCATTTCTGTTTCTGTAATTCAATTATAATACAAAGGGTTATTTTTTCGTTACAAAAATGAGAATTATCCAAAATTTAGTCTTAGTATAGATTTTTAAAATTTTTAATCACATTTATACACAATTTCTTGAGTATATTTTCAAAATTTTTCACTAGAAAATTCCTAAATTTATGCACAAAAGAATCGCAGAAATTTTTTTCAAATAATTCTTGAACCCAACTGACAACTTTTGAATTCGGAGCATTTTGCATTCGTTGAAAGGTTTACTAATCTTGCAACTGGTTTCATGCAACTCATGCAATCGTATGTGCTGTGAATAATCATATCTTTAGAGTGTCTCTTAAAATATTAACTGCTTTTTGGGAATATTTTACATTAAAAACATATGCTCCTAAATTACACTGTTGTGACTTCAATCGAATGTCTTTCACTTGCCTTCTGCAATGAAGAATAAAAAATATTAGCCAATTGCTTGCGTGAGAAATATGCAGTGGAGGAAAACTCACAGTGATTCCCAGCCTCTTGACTTCAATTTCTCTCTTCGCCAAATTGCTCCTTTTCTCCATCTGATATTTGCTAGTGAGGAAGTCAATTGGAGAAATTGATTCGCTAATTGGGTGGCGTCTCTTCCTCCTCTTCTTGAGCACTCTCTGGCAACAGTGCATCTTGAGAGGGCACATTCTGACCGGGGAGTTCTTCGTAAGGAGTCGCGTGGCTGAAAGACGTCAATGAGAGTTATTGCAATAGGAAAATTCCAGTGTATTTAGTAGATATTGAAAGAGTGTGTGGAAAGGATTATTGCCACTGATAATTCCTTTATTTTTCTGTAAATTAATCTAGGGTAAGTATTTCATGCAGTACTACTACGAAGATAAAGATGTTTAAATTGTATGCAAGAGATTAATTATTGTCATTAAAGTGCCTTTCATTACATGTCATACGTTACACCAATCGAGGGATTTCATTAAGTTAATTGTAATTAATTGTTCGGAAAGCTTGAAAAGCTCTTCGCGTTACCTGTAATTTATTACATATTCCCACATGTAAACTATGTAGATCCATTATAAATTACACTTTATTAAACGCCCATTAATATGCACATGAATTCATAGTAAAAACACTACAGTCAATTACTTTATTTTGTTGACATTGCTTTAATCTAATCGATCTCTGAGAATGTGTCAACAGGCTTCAACTAATGCTCGGGAAGTAATAAAATTCCTTCAACATATTGTTCATAAAGCGCCTAAGCAAATTATCAAGATTGTACAGTCAGAAAATCGATAGTTTTTGTCCCCTCAATTGGAATAATAATATTGGACAATGTGGGAATTTCCAAGGGCATTTTTCTCTACTATCATCATTTCACTCGATGAATTTCTCACTTGCTCGCTAAAATGCCACGCTTCTCTCTTCAGTCGTCATCACTCACGCTGTGTTAATTTTGAGATGTTTACATGAAAATTTTCAAATCAAGCGACAAACACCAGAAAAATTTCACAATCAGTTTCATCATTATTTTATTTCGTCATAACATCTGTCTTTCTCTGCAAAAAAGAAAACATTAACACGCGTGCGATAGAGAGTAAAACTTCATAGAGCGTGGGAAAAGGCATTTTATTTCAACATCGAGACGAAAAAAAATGTTTGCTGCTAAAACAAGGCACAGAATTTGCCTAAGTTTGTCTAGAATAGACTTGTTGTAGAAAAAAATACCACTGAAAGAGAAGATTAATCTTCCTAATATCTTTCTGGTACACTATTCTCCGTTGAGGATTCAGTCAGGTTCTTCGTGGAGCCAGATTTGCGTCTGGAAGAACATCACAAGAGTCCAAGATGAGCCAAAGTCAATATTTCTTACACATGCGGACGCACAACCAATTAATATCCATAACGAAAACCATGGAAAAAATCATGATAAATATGTTCAAGAATGAAATGGGAAAACGTGAGCATGAGAAATGAAATGGCAAAAACCTTTACTTACTAATCATGCAAAGAGTTTTCTGTTTTCTTTTCTGTTTCTCTGTGGATTAATCGAATTAGTCCTCATATGGTGTGATTTTTTTCTATACAGAAATGATTTATTTTCTTCATCACCTCATTGTTAAAATGTCTGGTGGTTTTTTTGTGTACAAATTTACAAAGTTTTTGTCTGTTTTGAATTCTATTTATTTGTTAAATAAGTCTTGGAAAGTTTATAAAGATGAATAAATTTTATGAAAGCTCATTCTTACATAGTCGTATAGATAAAGGTTTACAATAAAATCGAGAAACTGGGAATTCTTCTAAGTTAGCCTGAATTTTCTTTTTTTGAAGTCTTACTGGGTGTTTTATGTCATAATATTTGGTCAAAAGTATTCTAAATTAAAAATTTTAGGGAATTCAGTATTCTAGAAACTAAATTTTCAAGTCTGTATGTCTGAATAACAATTTGTCGCACAGCAATTTGAATTTGAGAGTCTCTAAGACAATATTTCATTGTTTTTAAATAAATAAATAACTTTAAAGCACTAAAAGATCGAAGTAAAGCGTGAAACCACATTTTTAATGTAATACAGTCTAAAGAAGTTCGAGTAAAAGAGTGTTTTCAACACGTCATTTTGCCCAAAAGCTTATCTTTAACGTAAGAAGTCAAAGGCAACAATTTAGGAACTGAGAGAGAGAATATAGGAGAAGAGAACAAAAAACAAATGATATTCTAACTATATTCGTCAGTAGGAATTGCAAAACACTATTCCACAATATTATAATTTTTAAAATGTTTCTATCACAAAAATTATCTTCTTCTTCATTTACGGAGAGACAAGAAAATCCATTGTGATTTAATCACGTGATCACCTTTCTCACATCATCATTCAGATGTTATATTAATATCCCTGCTTTTGAATAACAATTCTTCTTCTCAATTCTGATCTGTGTGTTAATGATGAACTTTACCGTGGTGTTTAGTTTATGTGTTAGTTGGGGGAGAACTGAGAACTTCTTCTCAGCACTTCTCATTTTGTTTCTTATCACTCAAGAGACTTTTCATGGTACCACTTCCTGCTTTTCTTTGTCTTCAATGAGTTTTTCGAGATTTGAGCTATTTCCTTTAAGCCCGCTGTGTCGATCCCTGAAATATATACAGAGTGTTCTTCGGCATTAGAAAATGATTGTGTCCACTAAACATGTTTTATTTGTTGAGAAAGCATCATGGGACAGGAAAGATTACAAAGCCACCAAGTGTTAGAATTAGTCAAACAATTATGTATAAAATTGTTTAAAAGTGTGTTAAGAGTTATAATTTGATATGCAGAGAGGATATTTACAAGAATATGGGAATATGGAATGGAATTGATAAAATTTTCTACAACTACAACATTAAATCTATACATAAAATATATATATATATAAGAAAATAATCACAAGGAAAAATAAAGGAATTATTTACAGTGGCAATTTTGGTACATTTTAGAGCTCAGAATCATCATTTGTGGATATAGAGGAATACTCCACAGATACGTACCGGTAGAGAATGTAGTGTTGAATAATGAAGACGATGTCAAAGAGAACGGAGAAAAGACCAAGACCGAATTTTGTGGGATCACCGAAAATTGAATCCCAATCATCTGGAAAGAAACGTATTGTTAAATGGGAAAATTGAAAATAGCGAAAAGGGTAAAAATAAACATTGAGGATATCGCAAAATCGGAGAATTTCTTAATACTTTAAAGAACATGATACTGTTCATGCATGATGCATGAAAAATTGTTCAAAAGTATAGATCATGTAATATACAGGAAAAAATTGAATTTACTATAAGTCTCTCTTAAGCATTGCGCCTAGAAACCACACAATGAATGTGAAAAACCCTTGGAAAACCCCTGATACTGACTTATGCCCGGGCACGTGATCGGGCTCAAGATTGGCTTAAGTCGCGCCATGCAATCACTTGAGGATGTTTTCGAGACATTCACTGACATGCAATGTGTTATTGTCCATTGAAAGTATGGAAATTCAGGTCTCAAGTTATCATCACGAATAAAATTCCACGATATCATTTACAAAATCCTCACTTTTTTCATCATATCACTCACCATAATTGTGAGCATTGAGCATCATTTGCAACATCGAGAGCATGCCGCCGAGGAAGTCCAGCAAAATATTTCCAATACTCCATCCGACAGTGGATTTTCGTCGGTAGTTCATGAGTGCCTGAGGCACATACTTGATCAATGTGATGGTGAGCTTGATGTAGCTGCAAGCATAGAGGAAGTCAAGCCAGTGAAATACATTTGTGCCGGCAAGAATGGCACAAACGACCACAACAACGGCAAAGATGCCCAAAATTCCTCTCGCCACCATCGATACCCTTTGATCGCCGCGCTGAAATTAGCCAAAAGCACATCGTTAGTCTTCACATTTTCTATCAAATGGATTCAGAAAAGCAGCAGCCAAAGAAGGCCACAAACCTCATAAATGAAGCATTGGCTTATGGTGACGAGCGTCGCGAAGGCAGCATGAAGGGAGAAGACCACATCGTTGACTAGCACTGGATTCAAGCCTCGTGGGAATCTCTCAAAGTACTCAGCCTGGATTCCCGAATTCCAGAATAGACCCATGTTGAAGACACTGTACATCACGAAGCCCACAATATTGAGGGCCAGAAAGTCTGGATTGAGACCAACAACGCTCTTTCGCTGGAAATTGTAGTAGATTTGGGGGTAGAATGAGATCGACCATGCCACAAAATAAATCCATCCCACGACGCTGGACACGTAAATTATTGTCTGAGATATTGCCACTGTTATTCTCACGAATAGATTTTCGCCGGAACTGAAAGAGGTGAAAGAAATATTTACCAAATAAAATAATAATTGAGGAGCGATTGAAGTGCTTAATGACAGAAACACGTGCTTCTATATTTATAATGCAATGCGGCAATTTCTAATCTCTTAATGTATGTTTTTAAATATATGTAGGAGCAGAAAGCCGCCATCAGATAATTTTCATTCACATGTAGAAATTATTTATGACTTTATGATTGACAGCGATAACTCATATATTAATTAATAAACTCACGTTAAAATTTTAAAATTGCAATAATATTATGATTACAGCTTCAAATAATTGATGAATTGCATGACGTTGCAATTATCAAGCTTGCAAATCGTATAATTCGATCATTATTTTTGAAAAGAATTAAGCCTAGAAGTAACATTAGTGACAGCATAAGTCATTCCATACATCACATTCTAAAACTTATAAGTTTATCCACTTAAAGGCAAATCGTCTTATCAAAATTTCAACACTCTCTCTTGATCATTAAATCAACATTTCACCGCAAGTGTTCATCGTCACTTTACACCCATAAGTCAATACAATAATAATGTACGTCAGAATGAAAATATTTCACTGAGTCAGAAAGTATTTCTAGGTTGAACTATTTCAATGCAAAAAATCAATGAAAGTGCTGATATTTTCGGACACATTTCACTGAATGCTGAAAAGAAATCTCCTGCGACTATTTGCTCCTCATCTTTCACTCGTTTGTCAATTTAAGCACACCAAAAACGCGATGAATCAATTGATGGGGAATTGAGTTCAACTTACAAACTTGTGCTGCCAATCGTGTAATTGGATGTGACTTCGAGATGACCGGGATGAAGACCCTCCACGCGAATTGGATACTCTCTTGTTTGGGTAGATGGTAGCAAATCAACCACATTCGGTGTCACATTGATTAATCCATCGTGTTGCTCGTAGAAGTAGACTTTGCCCGTCTCATTGAGGAATCCTCTGCAAAGACAAGTCAAGAAAAGCGACTTCTTAGGCCTCAGCAAACAACAAGCCGTCATTTCAGTGGCAAAACCAGCATCAAGACAAGATTTCCTTCACATTTCATTTGAATATTAGAATGTTTTGTGGAATTTTCTTGCGGATTTCTTTTGCTAATGTCGCCAATCACATGAATTTCGATGTAATTTACCTGAATTCCAAGATAAATTCCTCATTTTCACCCACCAAAACGGTCAAATCCTGCGTTGAAACACTCAATGTGAATGTTTCTGGTGTTTGGGCAATTGTTTGGCCTGCAAAGAGGTGAAAATACAAGGTTTACAGATGGAAATATGATAAGAAAGTGTTGCCATAAGCCTCTAAGTTTAATCAATTACAGTGGCAAATCCCCAATTTTTTGCCTCCCCAGCCAAGATCCTAACGCAAAAACCGACCAAACTTGATTGTAATTTCTGAATTCACAACGTCTAAGCTGATAAATTGAAACTGATAAATAAGACTCACCTGATAGCAATAATACTGCTGAGAATGTGAAAAACTTTAATACACTATGGAAGTTCATGACTTTTCTCATCTTGATTGTTTCCTCCTGCGTCTGGCCACAAGGGATACTCTTAACTGCAGAATTGTGAAGTGAAGTGTTCACAGAATGTCACTCAAGACCACTCCGTGTCAACTCTTTCACGGTCGAAAAGCAACTGCCAGTGGATAATCTACAAGAGAATTTCAATGATTGTAAACAATAAAACGGTGAACAATTCTAATTGATTTCCTACTCAGTGATAAGATGATATTGTAACGTGTGGAAGAGAAGCGCGAAATGGGCGATAAAAATTTCCCAATTGTGTGCTTAATTCAGTCTCGCAGAAAAATTCACTTGAAATGTCATCATCAATGTCTTTAAGAAATATTCCCGCTAACGTGATTAGATTTCTCTGCGATGTCCATCAACAGGCCTTATAAATAGCACAAAGTGAAATTAATTGACAGCAATATTTACGAGGTGCGTTATGTGATAACACACGCGACACGCAACATGAAAAGAACATATGTACATGATGTTGAGTTGATCTAATAATGAATGTGTCCTCCAGACGATCGAGAGTTATCAAGATAATCTCAGGAGAGAAGACAATTGAACACTCAAGGGGGGGAATTTTCGGAGCAATCAAACCTTAACAGTGCGAGGATTGTAAATTCTGTCTAGAAGATTGAATCTTCTAAAGATTGATCGAAGCTTCGTCTGAAGTGAGAAAAGAAATATCGAGATAAAAATACTCAGCGAGACAGTTAAGTATTCTCCGTATTCTCGATTAAAAAACTTTAACAGTATAATTCGGTTCACTTGACTTTTATGTTGAGTTTCATTGCAATATATAAAAAATATAGAGTGCATTCGCAAAATGCGAACTGCATTCGCAAAATATGAACAGAAATTGAGAATAAATACAAAACACTTCCCGGAAATCATACTCAAATGCATGGACTTTTTAAAATCATTATTATATTTTTATTTCATCATTAGTTATAATGTGTGTATACGATAACACTTAGCTGCAGTTAACACACTGAAGAAACTGAATGCAAATAACCAGACATCAGAATGTTATGCAACGGAGAAGCCCTCAGATTTAATTATAGAATCAGAGAATTAGTGTGTGAAGTAGAATAAACAACCAATAGATTCCGATCAGAATCATGATACATGGAAAAAGTGCATTAAATAAAACGTCAATTTTCTTAAATTCTACTTATCAAGTGTCAGAATCATAATTCATGCAGTGAAATACATGAACTCTTCGGGGACTTTTCTTCAACTCTGCCGATACATTGCGAATGGGACTTTTTCAGATAAATACAACAACGCATGATAACGTCACTGTTTTTCATGCTGTGCTCAGCATGTGACTATTTTTAGTGCCCTCAGCAAAATTGCTAATTTGTGGACAAAAAAGAAGTCTTCTTGAGAGGCAAAAAATCTCTATTTTTATTTCTCCAGATAAAATGAGCAAATTACGCACGTAAAAACAGACCGATTTACCATATTTTATCACCATGTGATTGTCTATCTCTGTTTTGAACCATTTGTACGTGCCTCTGTCAATTGTCTGACCACAAATGGAAGGTGAAATTGAATTAAAAGCTCACGATTTCGTTGAATACCGACACAAGCCTGTGTTGGTTTGGTCAAAGGTGCAAAAAGTGTGGGACTGATGTGAAAAAATGTACATTTTGTTTGTTAAAAGTAAATCTCTTGTGGCGACTTTCAATTCTCATGCTTCCGCGCTTTGACTATTTCATATCGAATGGAATCTTTTTTTTAGTATATTTTTATGCACGAAAATTCCTTATCAAATACATAAAAGAAACGCTCAACGAGAAATCTCTAATTAAAAATTCATGCCAAAAATTTGCATGTGCTTCTCTTTAAAGTTGTATCAAGAAAGCCGGAGATAAATTTAGAAAGCAAATAGAGAATAAGACAGAATTTGCAGACGCACAGCAATCACAAGAAGCATAGCAAATAGAATTTAATTGATTTGCAGACACACTCATACAAATTGCTTAATGTATATTGCAAAAGAGGTCATGATCTTGGAGAAGGACAAACTCACAATTATGCGTTATCTCCCTCTCTCTCTCACACACACTTTTATCGATATAACGCGCGAATTCGCTTTTCTTCTCGCCAGAGATGAACGCACGTGAGAAACACTTTTTAATCTTTTTCTTGCTGTTTAATCACAGAAAAAAAGCAAACATAAAATGCTGAGACCCACAAAGAGACATGTTTTGAGGCGAGAGGAAAACATTTAATAGAACGTGTAAATGATGATTTGCACATTTTCAAAAGAGTGCTCAAAATTCCAAGTGAAATCAGTGAATTTGCGTTGCAGAATTCCTCAATGGACTTCTCTTTCAAGGGCACAACACACTCCGTTTTCAATTCTCTACTAATACCTGTTATCTGACACTAGAGCAACTTGATAAAATTTCATGGTTTCTCTGCAGATAAACGGTGACCAAAACATTGCGCAAATTATCAAGCCACCCCCCTTTGGATTTGGTCAAAGCCGCAAACCAGCTAAAGCAAACCGAAGCTCAACCTTACACAATTTGTATATTTTTTTTCCTCTTGCTACACTTCTTACTCGGTTAAATGGTAATGAGATGCTACTCGGAGGGCTTCCCATTCAACACAGCGTCATTCACATGAAGTCACGGCTGAGTTCAGGTTTACGCGGTTTTTTCTCTGCACATTGCATCGATCACCGTGATAATTGAGTCTCTCTCAATGAAGATTGCAACCGGATACGAAATCACTCTATACAAGATAATTTGCGGAATTTATCACAATTATTGCCATTGAGTTCTTCATATGTTTAAATGTGTGGTCTCATCGTGAGATGATCTTCGCGAATGTTCTGTGATCCATCAAAACCATCGGAGGGTGTGTCGATAAGAGATGCTTAAAGACTCCCATAATGTTGCGTCAGAATTTCTCGCAAGGAGAAAAGAACGAGCGACAAATTCATCACACAAGCAAAATTCTTCAATGACGCGGGACTTTCCGCTGTGTGAGATTACTCTCTCGGGCTTCTTTTGCACCCATAACCACTTGACTAAACACAATCCACACCGCCGTGTCGTGGCATATATGATTTTATTGGGCACGATCCACTGATAAGGCCACTGCTGAGCACCACTGGGAATCTCCATATATATATATATATATATATATATATATATATATATGAACCGTGAAATAATGCTGTCACTTTGCCCTATTGATTCACAGTGAATTTTCGCAAAACTACAATCATCACCTTTATCGATGTGCACACAATTGATAAATCTTTATCATTCAGTTACACTTGATATCCCAGGAGGGACTGATTAGTTACTATAGACACACATTGAGAGACGTTTCGTTGAGATTTTCACTTACCTTGACTCACTGGATGGTCTTTCCTTGTGCTTCACTGCAGGTGCTCAGCGCGAGCAGTGATTTAGGAATAAGTCCGAATGAAATCGCGAGACTCGATTGTCAATATATACAAAAACTTAACCCACAAAACGAAAAGTTGTCGACCTTATGGAGACTTTCTTCTTTTTATGCACGAATATCGGTTTTGTCCGTTTTTAGAGGAAAAGACTCTCGGTCGATATAAATAGCCACCGAATATTGACTGGAATCAAGATCAATTTTTTTCGCTCTTCTCTTGCCACAACTGAATGCCAGTGAAATTGAAAATAATAAAATGCAACAATTTGTACCACTAGAATCGATCGTTAATTTGCACGCGCGTTTTAAGCTCTCTCAGTTTGCTCTCAAATTTCCTGAGAATGGAATTTTCTTCAGATGCAGAGAGAGAGATTGCTGTTAACTGGATGGAGGTTAGCATACGACTGGCTGACGCTGAGCCGGTCTCTGTTAATATTCTAGTCGTGGTCTCTTGGCAAGAGCGAGCGCGCGGAGTCGCGGAACACTGATAATGAAGCGCCAACAAGAAGTTTACACTATGCGAGAGGGCGCGAAAGAGTGAGAAAGTCGTGAGGGAAAGAGACGCCTTTCCATGGGATATTCGATACACATTGACACAATTTTTAATTCATTTCCTCACACACTCGCAGAGTTGAGTTGCAATTTTCATAGATAAGCAATCTCTCTCTCTCTCTCTTTCTTTATTCTTCTCACTGATTGAGAAAAGCTCGCTAAGAGGAAATAAGAAATATTCTACACATCAGATATTGATTCTGAGCCTTTATCAACCACTGAATCATAAGCAAAGCTTAATGAGAAAAACACAAGATTTGTCTTATCTAGAGAATTTCCCAGCCGCTTTTTTGCAACTCTGGTGGCGAGTTTGCGCCGATTTCTTCGCCGGTCGGACGATGAGATTATAGAGACTTTTCCGACTGTTTGAGGAAAAGTGAGGAAAGTAAGAGACGGTCAGTGGCTTCTGGTTGAGAAATTGAGTGCAGGAAAACTCTAATAAGCTTATACGTCATAGCGGAAAAGGGTCGATTTTCACAACATTGTGAAACACTCGTTGCCAATGACACAGCTAAATTTATCCTATACAAACTTCTAGAACTGCGCCGAGTATAATGAGCTTATACGAGAGAAATGAGATAAGATGAGGATCGTGCAAGTCACGAGATGTTCTCGCATTTTCTTCGTCACCGCGATGACTGTAAATTGGAGGGGCGTGCGAGCCTCACGCGACTTTGACGCCACTGAACGGAAATGGCACAGTTCTTCATCAAGATTATTTACCAAAATAGACGAAAATGCTGATCGAAATTAAGGTGAATCGTTGCATCATTTCATGCTTTGTCGCAAGAACGACTTTTTTCGTTGACTAATTACATTTTATGTTGATAAATTGGCAACCAATGTCAAGAGTTTTTGTCCATTCCTGGCTTGCGCCGTCATGGAAAAAAGCACCAACGCGGCAATTAATTGATACTTGATTGAAATCGCGGATTGACATTGGGGCAGGGCATTTCTGCACACTCATTTTGATAAATAAATTCGCGATGGTTATATCAAAAAAAGGGTAAATTTCTATACAGCAACAAAACATCAACATTCTAACCTCTGTCGAGAAGCGGAATGTAAGACGCACTTTTCTCTACTTACAGCCTCTCCGACTATCTTAAATTCGACGGCATTTTCACAAGACACCACACTTCAATGCACTTGATCACTTGTCGCTTGATTTCATTTTGTATTTGGGGCGGAAATTATCAAAAAAGTAAACAGATAAATTCACATAGAAAATGAAAACAAAGCCATGACAGCTGATAAGATTAACAGCGCCACCTAGCGAGTAATATACATCGAATTGTGGTTTCTATCTCGGCTCATCGAAAACCGTTGATTTTCAACTGCGAAACAAGCATGAAACATGCTTGTTCCATACAGGAAATGCATGGAAAATCAATGAAAATTTATTTTCCTCACAAAATATGATTGAATATTCAAACAGTTTGTTTTGGTTTTATCTTTTCCTAATTGAAAACATCTTTTATTGGGAGCGACTGCAAATGTATTGTTCTTTTAAATCAGTTTTTCTCGAGAAAAATTTACTGGAAATCATCGTAATCTTCTTTAAAGTATCGCCTTATAACCAATGATTATAAATTTTAGAACCACTCGCAGTTTTTCCAAATCGATTAATTTAATGTTAAGAAATTGAAAGAAAAGATGCTATATCAATTAATATAAACAACTTTACAGAACATAAATCATATTTTCCAGGTCTTGGAGATTTATGCACTCGATCCTCATCAGAAATGTACGAAATCGGATCAAAACATAAGTCGAGATTGTGTTCTTCACTGCGAATATAAATATTACGGCTTCGCTGATGATCAGTTTAATATAAACAAAGCTCATGTGAGAGTTTCGAAATCACCTTTTATTTTATCATGTTATCTTATTAATTCTTATTCATTTGCAGAGGAACGTCTTGAGAAATGTTCTACTGAAATATCACGTTATTACAAATGATCAGGTTGAGAAAATCGATGAGCATCTAGAAAAATGTGCAAAGGAAGCAAATCCCAAAGCGCAATCAGCTGAAAAGGATAAATGCCGTCGTGTGCTTAAGTATTCTCTATGTGTCGTGAATGATTCTAAGCTATTTACCTACAATACCTATATGAAGGCCTTAATTCGCTTCGGTCACACATTCAACTTATAATGTCCATTATTATAAGAAATCTCTAAATTCGGAGAGTAAAGCCGTTACTTAATAATATACATCAGTCATCAGTTCAAGTAAAGATTGTAACGATGTGATGAAACAATAATCAAATAAACTAAAATGAGCATTCTAATGCACGAATTTTTCTTTTCATTTCGAGAAAGAATACAATACGAAATTAAACAGCTTTCAAACTTGTGTCGGAGTATACTTTGAGAAATATGAAATAAATCTATAAACTGTAGTTTTATTATTGAAAGAAAAAAAAGATTCAACATTTTAATTTCGTCTTGCATTCAATGAAGAAAATAAGAATAATAATATATCGCCTACTTTAGCGACATTGTATGTTACACTTGTGCATAAGTCAATATTGCGAATCTTAAGATTTATTTTCCTGCAGGTTTTACAAACATTTGTATTGCTTATTATTGAAACACTTATTTGTCATCCCATGCTGATGAAGTATAAAAGAGAGGATATTTTGAGAAGGAATTTCAAACGATAGCAAGCAGTCATGAAGCGATTACAAGTTATTATTTTTGTGGTCACAGCCTTGGTAATCTTTTATTCTCCATTTGTATATTTTGCGTTTGTCTAGGAAGTAAAAGCATATGTACATATATTTCTAGATCGTGATTTGTGGCGCAGAGCGACCAGAGAAGAAATGCGCCAGGGAACATAAAAATGAAAAATCTTGCATCATTCCTTGCGCCTACACGTATTACGAGTTCCTTGACAAGCAATATAGGGTTACCAAGAGACACGTACGTGAAATCTGAGTATTTGAATGAAATTCACCAAGTTCTTTTACCATATTTTATTCTATAATCTATCTATAGGTCGACAACTATAGGAATTTCTTGCTGAAGTATAAAGCTGTTCAGGAGGATAAATTAAAAGATTTGGAAAATCACCTTTACGATTGCTTGAAAATATCGAAATCACCCGAAGAATCGTCGCTTGTGGAGAAATGCGAAAAAGCCCGTAAATTTGAGCATTGCATCATAGACAAGAATATTCTCAATTATCCTGTTTATTATAATGCATTCAAAAAACTCAACTTTGTCATGGATGTATAAATTCTGACCAACTTTATAATACGGCACAATAAAGCATTATCAGAAGACATTATTATTTCCGATATGAAATAATATTTTATTAAGCTAAAAACAAAAATTCATTACACTTGAATATTAAATTTAAAGAAATTTTTTTATTAATCACGGAGACAAGTATTTCAATTTCACAAAGTCGAATGGCCAGGGAAAATCAGGAAACGAACATAGGTTAATTTCATGACCATATCTCGTCTACGAGCTTCTATTTCTTAGGTTTGCTGCGCTTCTTCGGCCCAGATATCAAGTTTATTTTTTTCCTCCGATTTCGCTCATCCACCAAAATGGTAAAGTCTCCCCGGAAGTCCGGAATTTCATTGGGATCCACAGAAATGTATCGCTTGCGCAGAGGAAGCCTCTCATCATATGAGTACACCTTCAACATCTTGTGCACATACTGACTTCCTAGCCAGAACGGCTTAGGAGTGTATTTCTCACGAACTGAACGCCTCGGGCCAGGCTCCTCAACAGATAGGTTCTCCTCTATCACATCACGGATGTGATTCTCTGACTGCTGTAATTCTGGTTCTTCTGGGAAATTTAATTCAATATTTTGTGTCGTTTCCGCTTTGTTTGTGCAGCTGTTGTCGAAAATCAGCTTTCGCTTTGATGTGCACTCAACTTCCGACAGACTCGATCGGACTTTCTTCTCCATTTGAAGTATTTGCTGCACCGGCGAATCCACCTTCTGCAACATAAAAAGTAGAATAAACACAAAGAATACAATCAAATTGCTTGGTCAACTTACCCTCTTCTTTTGATTTATCGTCTTTGCAACTGGAGAAGATGAAGCCTTGAAGATATTAGACTCAGCGTCAATGGAGCAACTGGGTCTATTAAACTCAGGGATCTCATTGGCATGCGTAGACTTTGATGGTCGCATTGCGTGGTTTACAGACGTCTCCGTAGCCAGCATAATCATAGAATTCGTCCTTGAAAGGTTTTCAGTTAAAGGAGTTCTCTTCAGACTGGACGTCTTTGCCTTTTGTGGCTGTTTCACAATCTTTTTGGGTACAAATGTGTCATCATCGCTACCAGAACTGGTGTCTGGATCAATTGGAAAGGCGCTCTTGTCCATCTTCTGGCTCTGCCTTTCCTTCACAACCCTTTCGCCAGTAGAGCGTGTAGAACTCTGTCGAACAAACCTCCACGGCCCGCAATCCGCATGATCAGACTTCTTATTTCCAGTATGAGATTTAGTTTTATCTGAGAGATTCTTCTGGTTTGCAATCCCGGGTTCAGCAGCGGAAGCAACAGAACTCTTGCCATTTCGTGAATTGTCTCCAATAATCTGTGTGTTGATTTTTTTCAGTCGGTCTGGAACAGACACTATTTTATGTGGGTAAGTGCATAACTGTTTTGTCGGGAATGGAGTACTTGTGTTGCCCGGACACTGCAATATCAAGAAAAGTTTTAAATAAACTCGAAGGAAACTCAACACTTCTGAAATACTCACAAATCCGACAAATGTTCCATTGGAAAAGGAAGGTGAAGAGCAAGACAACAAATTGGGGCGCTGAGTATTTTCTGGCAGTTTCTTTTGATTTCTTATGTACTTGATGGGCACATTTTGGACATTATCCTGATTCTCTGGCCTCTTGAACAGTCTCTTGTGTATCTTCTTATTCCTTTTGGCCTGCAAGTATTCCGCCAAATTCGTCCCGGAATTCTCGAATACACGCGTATCGAAATCCTCAAAACCTTCATCATTGTTTGACCTGTGAGTAAATAAGGAATATCCCGAAAACCACATCAATATTAGGTAAAAACTTTATACCAGGAATAAAACAAAACCATCACATTTTGTTTTTCTTCGTCTCACAATTTTGCCCTCTCAAAGCACAATTTCCACACAATAGATACTTACATCTTCTTCTCGTGCATTCACAGCTCGTCTGTACACGGAAAAACCACCTTTTCTTTTAGTCTAAATGCTGGAAAAACACATCCGCTCAGCGTCTTTTTGTTGAATAAGAAAACGACAAACGCCTTCTGCGCCTCTGTCGGAAATTGCAAAAATCTCAAAACCGACCGTCAGAGAAATTCACCACTCGTTTGACAGCGCGCGCTGTGCCATAAACCGGATTGGTGTCACTGAGCGGGTGTGCTGGCGTGAGTTTTCTCAAGCATTTTCCGCGGATTTGAGTTATTAAAGGCAACAGAGGTGAGTGAGAATGAATGTAGCAGTGCTGAAAATGTTGTAACTATTGAAATAATACTAGATAATGGAACATAATTGAAATGGCTTGTGTTCCCTAACCTCAAAAAGTGCGCATTGCATTTTCTTTGGCCAAAATTTGCCGAAAACAATTCTGTTTACTGTTCTTTTGTACTTTTCTAATAGTTACTTGAGTATCTATCGTTGTAGATCCAAGAAATGGCTTCCTGGAAGAAGAGGGCCGCTGCAAGTAACAGCGATCAGCCACCGGTTAAGAAAAGCCGCCCTGGGTTAGGAAAAGGTAATTTTCTTATCTGTGAAAACCAGTTTTTGTGCCTGAAGTGCTACTATTCAATCAATACTATTCAATTCACAGTTGATCTTCTCGTTCCGGAGCGACCCAAGCTCAGTGGGAGCATTTTAGTGTGTGGACAAAACGACGTGGGCCAGCTTGGCTTGGGTGAAGATGTGTCGGAAAAGACGCGTCCGGGCGTCGTGAGCGATTTGAAGAACGTGGTGGATGTGCGTGCCGGCGGTATGCACACTCTCTGTCTCACAGCCAGCGGCGAGGTGTGGTCATTTGGGTGCAATGACGAGGGCGCTCTGGGACGGGACACATCCGAGGAGGGCTCAGAGTACACACCTGGAAAAGTGAATTTGCCGAGTCCTTGTGTGAAGATCTCGGCCGGAGACTCCCACTCTGCGTGTCTGCTCGAGGATGGACAAATCTACGCATGGGGCTCCTTCCGCGACTCTCATGGAAACATGGGACTCACTCTCGATGGTAACATGCGCATTCCTGTGGCCCTGCTGAAGGGTTTAAAGGGGGCCGACATCGCATCCGGAGCTGACCATTTGGTCATCCTCTCGACGAGTGGCCAGATATACACGGTGGGGTGTGGAGAACAGGGCCAGCTGGGCAGAGTCTCCTCTCGCTCGGCATCCGGGGAGTCGCGTCGCGGGAAAGTGGAGCTCCTGAAGCCAGAAATCGTGTCAACCCGCAAAACTAAGTTCATCGATGCCATATGGACCACAAATTTCAGGTATGTGTTGTGCGCGTTCGCTCTTTTGATCGACGAAAGGGTCTTCTAATGGGGCATTTCTGAATTTTCAGCACTTTCTATCGAGACCACGGCACAAAGCAGATTTATGCATTCGGGCTGAACAACTACAATCAACTGGCACTGCCGAAGAGGACCAGGAAGATGACGCTCGTTTTCACACCAAATCTCACAGAGATGCGCAATGTGAAGACCATCAGTGGTGGTCAGCATCATACTCTGGTTGTCTCCGAGGACAGCCAGTGCTATGCCATTGGACGCAAAGACTACGGACGACTGGGAATAGGTGAAGTGCCGGAGGACGTGACCGAGCTGATGCTTGTAAAAGATCTCCCAGCAGTAACTGATGTTGGTTGTGGTGACAGTCAGAGTTTCGCGCTGACCTCAGAAGAGAAAGTATTTGCGTGGGGAATGGGAAACAACCATCAGCTGGGTTTGGGTTCTGACCAGGATGTGGACAAGCCCACAGAGCTGACGGGAGCGCAAGTGAAAGACAAGCGCGTGTTGCGGGTGGACAGTGGAGGGCAGCACAGTGTCTTCCTCGTGACCGAACCGGGCGCACAGAAGAAAGGCAGCGATATTCCTGTGGAGAAGCGTAATGGGGCAGGTGATGGTGTGGAGCCAGGCAAGAAGGCTCCAAAGGCTGCCAAGAAGGCGAGCAAGAAATAGCAAAATGTCTCAGAGAAGGTGAGCTTTGTCTAATTTCACAACTTTTCACTTCGTTTTTTTCTTATTGAATTTTTTTGTTTAACAAACACGTTTTGAAATTAGAATCATTGTTTGAACTATTTCCTTTGTGAGAAATAAAGGCAGATTGAAGGATATTTGGCGCGAAAGCAAAATGATGTTGCACCACGCAGCCGATCTCTGTGCGCAGAGGGGCATCGTCCCCTCCTTGGTCTTCGCTATAGCCATCAGCTGTTGGAAACCCCCAGATTGAGGCAAAATATCTGAACTGCTTTCTCGGCAGTTTCTGCGCTTGAAAGCTTCAGGGTTTGTGAGAAATGTTAGAGATTACGCTTCCAGTGAATTTTTCGAAAATGAAATTTTATTGATTCTACTGTTATCAATAATTTAAAGGTCAAAATTAGTAATGTTTTATACGACGAATTTCTGTTTCAATTTTCTAATCCAATCAGACGAATTAACATTATTGATTTGCCGCTTCGGAAAGCACGAAAAGCATAATACATAAATTCAAAACTGTGCGTTGAAATTTTGACGAAACATTGCCGCCCAAAGTGTGTGTGTTACAGAGAATGAGAGACAACGCGGAGCATCTTGTGTTCAGAGTGACCATGGCTATTCAACACTATCAGAGATTGACTTCTTTCTCTCTTGAAAACTATTCGTCAGTCTCTCCGTCGATTCCCAAGCAATCGCAAGCTGCTTCACGGCAGTTTCGCGCGGGCTTTCTACGAGATCTGTGGTGTCTGTTCCTCGAAGATTCTCTCTCTCCTCGCCTAATTCTGGCTCTGCAATGCGAATTTTCGGGTATATAAATTCAATCACTTAGCCAATCTCTCTCGTCTCTGCGAAAATCGCGCCGGTCTTGGAATCGCTCAGATATTCCGCTAGTAGATGAATGGGGAATATAGCTTGGGAGGTTTTTTTTCGGGAAGCCTGAGTGAAACATTTTGGTTGAGGAAAGAAAACTGAGTCGCGGTGCTTCGATGTTGATCAGCACTGCTTCAGTTGCGAGTGAGCTCTTGGATCGGGTCGGTGGTTTTTCGCGTTGCTTGCTAGCAAAAGAGTTTTCGTGGCACTCGATTTCGCGGTGATCCTTTGATTGCATTATCTGAAGTCCTTTCGGGCTGTTCTCTTGTGCTGGTGCAAATTTTTCCGCAAGTAGAAAGACTACTTTTGGGACTTTTGAAGCGTGTTTAATGGAAAATTTCGGCTTTCTCAATATTTAATGTTCTTACAGACAGAAAAAAAACTGTGCATTTTATGCTTAGTACGGCCTTTTCCTGAGTCAATACATGCAAATTGATTGTTTTATCGAGACAGTTTGTGGCACAAATGAAGGTGAATTTGATTTGTGGACGCTTTAAGTGATGAACCGGACAGAATAATTGTATGATCAAGTTTTCGGGACGTGTATCGCCTGAGATAATTTCGGAAAACGCGTTGCCATTCATTGGCAAGCGCGGTAATTCACACATTCGTAAAAATTCAGTACATAAGGAGCGCGAAAGAGGCCAAAAAGCGATGATAGAGATGTTGAGACGCCTTGGTTGTCGTGTAACATGCTAAATATTTGTTTTTAGGAGTCAATATTATCAATAAATTTCTCTCCTCCAGTCATTGGAATTGTTGAGTCAAGTGGAGTCGCCTTATCACCGCGTGAATTCGCAGATTGTCTATGAAAAAACTGCGGTGAAAAGTGAGAGTTTCGTGCATTATTTCAGTCCAGAAAAAAATTCCCAAATATCAACGATAAGGAACCGTCCTCTGGGATTGCAGAGAAATTGTGTTCATTAAGTTATAATAGCAAAGTGCTGGAGACGAAACGCTTAAAATGCAATGTTAGTGCCTTTTGAATTGAATTGTCAGGAAAAAATATGAAGCACTCGGCTAATGCTTCAGCTCTGACTGTGTTCTGTCACATAATCTCATGGTGTTGTGGTTCGCTGAAGAAATTCTGGATTACCATTTGATTTCAACTGCAAGCGCCAGGACATCTGTAACTGATAAGATTTCTCAAGTGGCGATAGTCAGCAATTAAGCGTGTCGTGTTAGATACTTGTGAGTATTATCAGTGAAGTTATTTAACCGATTTTAATTACTAGAGCGCCGCTTTCAGTGAGAATTTCTATGTGTGGTTGGGTGGCTTTTTTCGTCTTCTTTTTAAGCTAGGATTTTTCATTTCGATGCAGGTGTGGAGAGTACCTGGAGAAATCATGTCAATCACTGGCTACTTGAAAGCCCCAATAGGCATTGGCTATTAATCAGTGGATCTGTTTGCGCACTGAATCCCGTTTTAAGTAGAAGACACACATAAATCATATCAGTCAAATATGGTGCAACTCATTAAAGAGTCTGTCTTTTCATGCAATTTTCCAACTTGAGGGTGTGATGTAGAAATCCCGGTGGCGAGACAGATGAGTGAAGAGAATTTAATGAGATATCGCCTACAATTGTTAACGGTGCAGCATTTTGAATTTGACAAGTCGACACCTCACGATGTGAACCCGAGTGGGCGATTTTTCATACATCTGTCAATTAATCTCTGCTCTGGATCGAATACAACTGGGAAAAAATCACTTTCAAGGCTAGGTCGCGCAAAGTGGTGCATATGGCTCCAATAAAGCAATAATAGTAAATTGAGGAATAGAACGTTTTTTTTACGAAAAAAGATTTTTACACCAAATCAAACGTTTACATTTCACACAGACATCATAAAAATTTAATGCTTTCAATCAAATTGTATTAAAGTTTCCCGCCTCCTTGACTGGAGGTGATCTTGCGCGATAGATTGGGTGAAATTAATCAAAATATTTAGCTCAAAATGAGTAATTTTATCAATTTAGCCGACAATAACTTGGTCAGCAATAGAATGGCGAAACAATCTCACGGGGATATTCTGTCCCACACGAGTGATGGTCAGAGACGGACTCACTTTGCATGAGTAGTACAAGTGGATGGCTTCTAAGTTTCATAGGAGAGCGCGTGGTGTTTGAAGAAAAGACTTCCAAATGCGAGAAAAAATCCGAGACTCATCCGAGACGGAGTCAGCAAAAAAAGCAGCACTGCTAAATGCATAAATTTCAGTGGTGATTATAACGATTTCTCAGAATAGTCTGTCTCTTGTTGAAAATGAGACACCGTGCGCCATGTGATGGAATTGATTTGAAATATCACAATTTGGGGGTGCATTCTTGATCGAGGTGCGCCACGCAAAAGGTCAGCTCTATGTATTCGACGGCCTTCTCACCATGTGACTTATGTATGTTCTAGAAAGTTTCCTTTATCTCACACTCAGATTTATTGGCTTGGCTCTGATAATTCCCTGTAGACGCACGATAAGAGCATCTCCACGTGGTAACAGCTGTTATGTGCTGAAGATTATGACGCTAGATAGCAGAGTGTTTAAGTAAATTAGGACCATCAGTAAATGACTCTGAAAAGTCATACGATACGATGAGGATCCGGCAAATTTGGAAATTTAGAATACTTTATCTGATGATTCCACGCGAAAATCCCTGGCAGTGTGTCACAGCTTGACTTAACCTCGTGGGATATTTGTGTGAAATAATGATTCGTCGCGGGTTTGTTTTGGCACACACCAATAATTTCTGTAATTATGCTGCCTCCTCATCAAACGCGAGATTGCCAGAGAAAACATCTTCCAAGACATGGTGAGGAAAATTGATTCATCTTGAAAATCTCATCTGAAGAGTCCTCGTGACAAAAAACGCATCTTTTGTGTCTCTGCCTGGGCAGTTTCTCTTCTCCAACTTCATGGCTTTTCAACCTCTGGCTGTGCCTCAAGACTGCGCCCAGCGGTTGGTCAGTTATTTTGAAGTATCTAATTTGATAATAGATCTGATGTTATCGCCATAAATTGAGGAATTTTTCACGCAGCAGGAGAAGTAATTTAGGTATGACTTTCCGAGGGGGGCCACTGGTAAAATCTTCATTATCTGGCGGGTCGGAATGTGAGATGCAGTGAGTGCAGTGTTGCGAATGTCTTCGTGGGGATAAAATCTCGATTTCATCTGGCAAGGGGGAGTCATTGGCCTCCCCCGCGCATTGGAGTCTCTGTGGTCTATTCGCGATTGCAGAGGAGGTGCACTAAAATAGACGATCAGTTCGTGGTTTTGATAATCTACACGAGCGCATTGTGGCAAAAGAGCGCGAGGATGTTTGTTTAGATCGAAAATTGCAGTCATCCGAGTCGACCAGGCTCGTTTAAAGTACCATCCGGAGGATTCAATGAACTCTCGCCGCACAATGTTACTGCAGAATAAACATGCAGTACGCAGAGAGACAGTGTTTACGGTTTTACTTATTTTTCGGGAGAGTTTAGGCTTTTAGAGACACTATAAAAATGTTGTAAAGACTGCGGACAATGCTTTATTTTCGCCATAATGATTGTAATATTGTGTTGTACCGTTCAACACGTGTGAGATTGTAAAGATAAGATGAAGATAAGATAGGAAAGAGAAGACAATACCGAAGATTTCTCCGCTTCGAAGCATCCTCCTCACTATTTAACGAAATTAACATCTACACGAACTATTACCCAGCATTTTCAGAAGAATTATCCGGCTGAATAGAGAAGCATAAACATTAGCATTTTTCATGTTGTGGAGATTTTGGGAGGAATGCCTCCCATAAACTCATAATCTCTTCAGTCACTTCTCCATAGAAGCGCTCATGTATCTCCTTTCAATACCATCTTTGTTTCCAAATAAACCATTGAGTGTTTTTAGGGGGCGAAGAACAAAGATCGCGATCGGATACAAAAGGCCTGTCGTCATGTCAAACGGTGTTCTTTCTCTAAATCTTACGACTGTCGAAGTATACGTTTAGTCTCAACACTCCTGATTTATAGTGAAATGAGCTGACAAAGAAATTTTGCAGCTTTTATGAGATATTTGTTTATAGCGACAGAACATATGGCAATTTGTAGTGTTTTAAGCCTTAAAGGCCCAGTACAACGATCTCTGAGCCTGACTGACTTTCTTTTCGGCAGCGCGATGGGGAAATGGGGAAGAAAATCATAAAATTCCAACGAGAATGTTGGCCTATTGTTTGTCTATATCCACGTGGGGCCACGTGGATTGTATCACGAGGTTCACTGATGTTGCCATTTGGGAATTTAACACCCTCCAATGTTAGGACTACACAATATTATTACAATATTTCTGATGTCGTGACGTCTGAGCTTTTGTAAAGTGCTTTCTATATTATTTAGAATTTTAGGAACTCCAGAGATCTGATCTTCAGGAATTTATATTTAGCTACGTTTGATGCCAATTATATTTGCTTGATCCATTCAACATTGGATATCTTTAGATAGAATTCCCGTATCTGCCCAAGGGAACTCTGTGGTGTTTATGAATAGTGTCATTGCTACAGCCACACACGAGTTGAGTAACTGAAGATTGCAAGATACAAATAAATGTCTAAATTTATCCATTTTCCCCAACCATTTTTATATTGTTCTCCGTCAAAACAATCCCATGGTGGCAATATCTTTGATTGCCACAAGAGTGACTCACTGTCTAACAATGTCCAGGTCGCGGGCCAAGGAAGATAAGGGCAGGGCGGAAGGATTTTGATGGATTTCCTCGCACGTCATCCATCAAGTGGAGAGCATGGATTGTCTCCCTTGTCTGTGTTGCAACAAGTTGCGGGAGATTCTTTTGATTTCGCACCACAACTGTGTACATAGTTGGGAGCCGCTGCCTCACTGTGCCAGTTTATTTAATTTCTTTTTTGGGGAACTATTTCAAACAAATGTTTCCGGGTGGAGATGTTTTATGTATCTGACAAGTTGGAGGCTCTCCGGCCGGGCATCTGGCCCGGGATGGGCCTCTAGATTGGCCCGAGTGAGCGATTAATGGTCCCACGCATGGAGTCATCACGGGAAGATTGGGGCCAAATTGAGTTGAGTCTTAATTAGTGCCGAATAATTGCCGAAAGTGTGATGAGCGATAGAATCTCATGTCAATAAAATCTGAAATGCTGATGAGTGGATTTGTCTGACGCGCGCCCAGTTGAGACATCAGCCTCTGAGATGGACCACTAAATGCTCCATATCTCGGAAATTAATCACATCTTGCTCTTGATTCGCTGCGCCCCAAGAAATTTCATGGGCAATTCAGTGTGACATCATTTACAGAGACTATCGGGAAGTTCATTGTACAGAGTTTTCCACGAGGCGAGACTGATTGATGTCAAAGACCGACTTGCGATGCCACATTGAATTCCCCGCATATGAAAATCCATCAATGGTCAGGCATTTGCCAATTCCGCGAGCACGTCTCGCCTGGCTCCATTTGTTTGGCAAATTCTATTCAGAAATTCCTGGGCGCTGAGGTGGGGGGAATTATGTTAATTTATGGTTTCAGCTCTCTTTTTTTTGCTCTATCGCGCACACTCTTTTTCTACTTCTTCTCTCTGCCCCAATGACAGTGTATATTTTGGGTGTGACACAGAGGAAGAAGAGGAGACATCACGATCGTGACCCCTCATCCCTCTGAGTGGCTCCTCGGGACCGCCAAAGAGTTGATCTTTCGCATCCATTCCACTCTCAATTCACTCAATTTCCCTTCTGACCACCTAAATTGTTCATAGAGACCCACCGATAATTACTATAATTCAATAATAGTTTAATTGGTGTATCTATAAAATTAAAATACACTGAAATAGCGTGTTGAAATGTTTTATAGAGTGGCTTTTTGAGGCTTATGTCCCATTTGATTGGACTCACATCAATATGATTGGCTCTGCAATTACCGGGGAGGTTAATCAGTGCACTAGAAAAGTAGCTCTCTCGTTTGCTCAAATCTGTCAATGGAAATATTCCTTCGAAATGCCACAAAACTTGGCAGAAGCCACTATGATGGCAATTCTAGTGTTTATCATCAATTCTCTATATTGTAGAGAAGACACTGATAAACCCCTGAAATTCCAATAAAAATTTTCCATAAAAGAATCGCATGTAATTCGAAGCATGGTACAAAAATCTGTGCTCCACTTCTTTTATGGAGATCTCAAATCATTCTGAATTGGAGTCGGTGTAATTTTCTCCTCCTGAATTCGCCATAAAAATTAAAAGCTGCAATTCTAAAAATATTGCATTGAATCACGTGTGAATCATTAATAAATTGCAGTTTCGTGTCTCTCGAGGTTTTTCAGTTTGATCACCACAAATAAGCTTCGCGGCCAAAAATAATTAATTACCAATTAATTGCATTCACGGAATGTAATTTGAGAGAAACACATCTTCCCTAAATACGTCGGAGACTATCGCGTGACGACAAGACATGTGGAGATCAGAGAGTTTTGCCTAATGGGATTAGAATTGCTGAAAATACTAAGTGTTAAATGATGGTAAAATAATGAATGAAATGTGTAATTAGCGAGGGAGAAGTGTTTCTTTAGTCACTCGCTGGCGATTTTATCTGCCGCACAGCGACGAGAGACCTCCGTAGCTGGTCTCTTAAGTCTATTGAATCCTCCGTGGCTAATTTTCCCCTCCACACAACGAGACAGGTTTCTTTGCCCCATCGATGAATGACGTGAAGAAGTATTTCTGGGAAGATTAAAGGAATTGTCATAGTCTTATTGGGCTGTTGAGTGTGGGGAGGCAGAAAATTGGACTTTCGTCTGAGCAGAAATAAAGGTATTGTGGCGTCAAACTGTGAAGCTCGCGATGCACTGCCCATTGATACTTGATGTGAATCGTGGCTTGTGAGAGAGAGAAAAATAAACTATGACTTTTGATTGCTTTTCAACTCTTTAAAGAATCTCTTGCCAAGTTCACGTCTAGGGAACCGGTTTACGTATTTGAATTCATTGTTGCCTCTCCAAATCCTCACCTTCTCCACCCGTTCATCAATAGATGAGCTCAAGAGGCAATGTAGTGAGTGAAAAAATCTCCATCTTGTCTATTAATTGATTGTTAAGCGATTTCAGTTGTTATGACAAAAATGTTATTTATCTCTTTGTCTTAGACGCAAGATTGGGAGATAATCTCGCGATGAGATCCACGTGAGTCGTGGTTATTTTTGGCTAACAGGTGATTCGACGGCCCTCAAGGTCTCTCCGTTCCGTCTGACGACATGAGCAGTACCTTGAACCGGGAAGTGTGTGCTAATCCGCGGAGAAAGAGCAAGATTATACGCACCTAAAACCAGGCTCCTGCATAAAAGTCCACTTAGCTATTGAATGGGCAGATCACTCATATCGGTAACGGGCGGCCCGTCAGCCATCAAATGAATCATCATTGAATTTGAATGGACACGCTGATGGGGTATCACAATGTAGTCAAAAGTGCCTCAACTCAATGAACACATTTCTGAGACGCTTTGGAGCAAATATTGACGGTGGACAGAAAGTCAAGGTTCAGCTTTTCCATCTTGGAACCGCAGCATCATTTCTATGTTAATTCAATTCCCATCTAGTGATAAAATTCAATTCATCCAAAAGGCACGATTATGCAAAATTCCGCAAATTACAGCATAAATTTCCCCACAACGTTAAAACGAATTAACTATCACGGTTTATTTTGATAGCTGTGATAGAGACAACATAATAAATTTTACCCTCTTTTTCTTCCCATTTAGCCAATATTCTTCCTCCATCCTAGTGAGATGCCTTTAGGTGGACGATCGTCTCGATTTCCACGAATGAACTGTTCTAAACATCAACTATATTTGTGATCTTCGGTGAAATTTAGATCTGTACACATATTTCAAAATATCCTGTTCCTAGAATAGACGAATGTATTCTTATCTTGTCTTTAGATAAAACTGTCTGGTGGAAGTATTTTTTGGCAAACAAAGCTTCTTTAGAAAAGTAATTACAACATCTTGAAAATTTACATTAGAGTTGATTTATCCCCAATCCATTTGTCTTGCGGATGTTTTCCCATAAATTTAGGAGAAATTTAGTCTTTTTTGAGAATCGTCTCTGAAATATTCCGCATGAATTTCTTCTACTAGAATAATATCTCTCACAAATCAACATCGTGTGGAATGCACTTAATCTTGCGATCACTCGATCTGTCATCCACCTAAGATCTCTTTATTATGGTACAGAGAGGGAAAAAAGTCCGCTGATGTGTGGTTAATCGTTATTAATGGATGCGCCATGAAATTCGGTGGAAACGAAGCGATTGTAATTAATTCATCAATTTGACTCAATTGCCAAAAAACATGTTTCTGTTTTCTTGAGATTCAGGAAGTCGCGTGAGATTCTATAGCAGTCCCTCATGATGAATATGTCATACAATTTATTACAATAGATGATGACTTGTGACAAATTGCTTGAGTGATCGGTCTTTTATCTCCCATATAAATGCTTTTGGAGGGAGGAAAAGTCCTTCAGTCATTTCTCCTGGGCAAATTGAATGGAGATCATGGGATCGAGGATTTAGGAAGTGTGTCTCCGTGGTATTGTGTAAGCGGTGCCAATTAAAATATGAAGGGAATTGCTGTCGATGGATGTCGTAAATAATTGTCGTGTACGCAAAATGTTTTCGAAATCAACGTCGCGGCTATTTTGGCCAAGAAGGAGGCATGCCAATGAAAGAGGAATTGTGTAGGCTCACGATCAGCATTCAGCTCACACTATTGAGTATCGACAGTTGGACAGAGATAATATAAATTAACATAAAGTGACTAATAGGCGATTTCAGAGGTATTCCTTGTCTCACGATTGCCGATGGTATCGATGAAAAATTGGAAATTAATGATTCCATTGGGAAAGAGTTTTCTCACTCCATCGCAAGAGATGCGCCCTTCAAATTTACGATTTGAGGATTATAAACCTGAAATCGTGATCTTCTCCTCGCGACTTGATGCACATCGGTGACTCTTAATCCCATTAGTGTCACCTCGATCACTCGCCAAAGACTCACAGTAGCGCCTGCAATACTATGCGTGCCACACAGGGCATCTCATCTCGGCTGTCGTATTACTTAATTAGTGTTTTTTTTTCTCGCAGCGAGCCGCCCAATATTGACATCTGTTTGGTAATTTCCATGGCCAAAATATTATTCATAAATTATTTGGCTAAGCAATTTGATCGGGAGTGTGTGACATAGGAGAGATGTAAATGCCTGTCGATACAAGAAGGTGGAGTTTCGTGTTAATTAATCCGATCTCACGATTTCAGATCACCACACACGGCTGCAGCGATCATTCTCCTCACCTCCTCGCATCTCAGTAAGGCGTCACAGGGCGGAGGCAAGAAGGTCCCAAGATGACAACTCGCTGGAGGCAGAAAGTCACTTTTGCAGCAGCCGTGGTACTCCTTATTGTGGCACTGGGCTTGGGCATCTTCGTGTGGACGGCGGTCTCTAATGGTGTCTTCACACCGCGCCCCGCCAGCATTAGGCATAGGATAAATATCAGTGACAATCAGGAGTCTTCCAGTGGGAATAGAAGCTCTCTCAACGCGATTAGAGGTAAATGATCATGCCCTAAAATAACCACACGAATAATGCACCTCTGGCGAGATTGAAAATCTCGCGAAGATCTTGCGCGAACACGCGGAGAAATTAATATTGGCGAAGCATTATGACATTGGAAATATATAAAACACCGGGCTATTTTTAGTCCGCACCACACTTTGAGACAAGGCGAAATTTTCCAACTATATTTTTCATATACTCAACTGGTAAATGCAGAAAAGCGTCATGTAGGAAGAGCGCTGAGAGAAGAGCTCTGCTTGACGAAATACTAATAGAAATATGATTTCAGAAATGGTTTTCCCTGGACTCACCGTGAAAATCATATCAAGTTTTAAATTAATATATAATGAGAAGTATAATAAATTTCGACTGTACTTATTCTAATGAGCTTTTGAATTTATTGTAGGCTGATAAGTTTTTACTGAGTCTAAAATTTAGTTTATTTATAATGTTTGTTACACTTCAAGTTGTCCTCGGATAACCCATCTTAGCCATAAACTTAGCCACCACATTTTTTTACATGGAAGCACATAAGTGAAAAAGCACAGAAATTCACTCATGTTCTGCTTCTGATTTCGGCATTACATTTTATTTTGGGGATCTCTTTGCGTCTGTCCATATAATTTTGCTTCCTCGCTGAAAACGTTCAATATCAATTCAATGTGCAGATATAAGCCATTTGAGATTCTCGCGTATGCTCAAGCAAAAACGAAAAAAGTGCGTATGTTTTACGAGAAGCGAAGCATCATGACAAATTCAAGGTTCTCGTGCGCGTTGGATGCTCAATTGTGTAGCAAATTTATATTTTGTGTATTGGAATTGAATTAAAAGTATTTCTTCGCCAGAGGAGACCATTAAACATCAAAGGGAACTGCCACAGAAATCTGTATTGGAAGCCACGAGGTGAGGTGATGCTTCGCGGCGCTTAGGGCTATTCCTAAAGTTTATTTATTCAATGACCGTTCAATCCTCTCCTCCGGATAAATATTATCATTAAATTGTAACCGTCTCGAGGAGAGACTACAAATATGTTTTATCCCTCCGTCCATTATTGACTATCTGCGGAGATTCTTTAGAAGTCTGAAGCGCAATCCTCGCACAATTGAAGAGGCAAAAAAGGCGAAGGCAAAAAAAAAACAATTGTAAATTTGTCCAATTGAGTGATTTTTATCGAATGAAAAAGAAGTTTCACTTGTGCTGTGGGTACTTTTTTGCCAACTACATCTTCTTGGATAAATAATTTATGCACGAAGCCCGCGACATTAATAACTGTCTGTCTAGACTATAAATTGCACTGACTTCATTAAGGCAACTTATGCACATGCCTCCCATACTGATCAATGAAGTGATCGAGATGGCAAGTAATTCACCAATTTATACAAAACAATATAACTCCATCATTCGTGCTGCACTCATTCAATAGTTCTCATGCTGAATTGCATATTGAGTTTAAATTTAATTTCCAGCTAAAGGCGTTGCGATGATAAAAAGTTGCAGAAATCCATAAATTGAACTTTTCACTGAAGACCACTTCATGGAAAAAGAGTGTTGATGCTATGTTGTGCACACATAAGCTCAATTTTCATTCACTTCTTTCTTCCTTCGTGTTTTTTTCACCCGTAAACAATGAAGTTGCCTCTCTGTCGTGATTTTTGCACATGATGGAGAGGAAAAGTGAATAACGCGAAAAAGTGCTTGCATTTAGCCAAAAGAGATCATATTGTATTCGCCGCGTCAATCGAAGTCAATGAACTGAAGGACTCGCCGCAAGGAATGATCATAATTTGATACAAATGCTGGGTTATTGCCATGGCAAGCAACCAAAAATAAATTATTATTCTTTCGTGGCGCATCGCAATAGTTTGAGAGATGCTGCGAGAGGGAGAAATGAGAGAGATCATTGAACCATTTTCGATACGAATCAATCGCCAGGCTTTTACGTTTGGGTGGAAGCAAGGATTCGGATTTTGGGTGTTTAATTACACAGTGTAAGACTTTGAGTAGAAATTGACGTAAACACTCGAATTTACGACTTTTATTTCATGTATAATATTTTTTCGTCTTCAGATCCAATGACATTGTGTGCAATTTCAACGGGAATCCATTCATGACTCAATCAGCGTATCACTAAATTCAGATTATTCTAGGTATTTCGACTGGCTCCGTCACTTTTTGCATAACTTCAAAATTTAAATTGGGTTGAGCTTGAGTCAACTGAGCTGTAGAATTTCTAGACAACTAATGGTGTTGTTGAACTCCACCAAAATTTGCATTGAAAGCTCAAAAGCGACTAATCATTGTCGTTCTAGACGAAGTCGATTATATTACACGTAAAGTATGATCAATGGTAATGCGCAAAAAGCCGCGATCGTGTTTTGGACATATTTTGGTGTGCCATTGAGATTGCATGAAGGGCTGAAACATGAGTGAATGCCTCTGGCATATCTTCAATATCTTTCTCCAGAGTGTCTCTCACGAGGAAATTGCACTGCACCACGCACTTGTGGGCAAATAGTGAGGTGATTTTGAGATATCGCTCTCTCTCTCTCTCCCATTCTTTCACTCTCGCGAGTACATAATTTATGCTGTGGGGAGTAATGAATTACATCAAGTCTTATGGGGCCGATCGTGGGATCGCGAAGAGGCGCTGGAATCGTGTGGGATTCTGATCTGATGATGCTGTATGGAGATAAAATGTGCCAATTTTAATTTACAATTTCTCTTCTATGCCGATGATGAATTTGATCGATGACAGTGTCCAATGTTGGCCCAGAGGTTCTAATAAATTGGCAATTATTCAAGAAAATTCACCACCCATTCACGGGTGGGAATGATGAGGAAGTGACAGAGATCAAGATCGAGATCAGTGTGCGTGAAGGGGCCTCATGATTGTCCATTGAGACTGGCTGTGATCTACTGGCTCAATTCCAATAATACAGCGCCACAGCCTCTAACACCATTAGTTGAAATGCAAAATGAAATTGTCTATTCCGCTCCGATTCAAATTGCTCATGTTATCAGATTACGAAAATAATTAACGCTAATCTATGTGAACTGAAAGGCACTCTGCACAGTCTTGACCTTTGACTATGATTTATTTTGATTTCCGTTATTAGTGTTGATGCCAACGCGCCACAAGTTCATATCACAACTATTTTTGACATGAGTGCGAAAAGAAACATTACAGCGAAACTATGTGGATTTAATCAATTAACTCCCCACGTCAGGCATTTTATTTTAAAACTCCTTCTTCATAAATATAGCAACTGACTTTTTTGTCATGTCTGACATTTTAATTATACAGAAAAACCAGCGAATTGCGATAAGAGTCAGTTTTTCCGCCGTCTCGCAATGTTTATATTTTAAAATAGCACTGGGATTATATTAATTAAGTATATTCACTTTGAATTCACTGCCACGAAGAAAGTGGCCCAGATCATGTATGGCAAATTTCGCATCTTTTAGCACTCGTGTGAGCGTCTTTTCTTATTTCGGCCGGAACACAAAATTCGGCTGGAGGAAAGGAAGATAGAGAGAGAGAGCAACGACTACACAAATTAGTAGAGTAGTCTAATAGTAGCTGAAAGAGCGATTATGTATCGCGAATGTAAATGGCTCTGTTTGAAGCAAATGTTGGCTCAAATAAATTTTATTTATCATTATAATTTGCAGACGCTACGAAAGAGTGCGAAATACAGTCTATTGATATGATATTCCTCTCACATGGTTTCCCAGAAAAAAGTAGATGTTCACAAAAAATGCCGGCAAACATATGTTAACAAAGTGGAACATTTTCCATTTTTTGCTGTATTTACTTGTATAATTGAGCACATAGCAATAGCACTGTCACTTGGCTTTATAGGAGAATGCGATTGAATAAGAAATTTAATAATCATGTGTGCTTTTCGAGTGTCTGGACCGAAATTTTTAACCGATATTCAAATCCTTAATTTGCGTGTGTTGTGCTGAGATCGCCACTTATGTGTAATGTTAGGATGACTTTTATCATCTAAATTGTAGGTAGTGTTCTAGCATAAAGCTCACGGTCTACATCGAAGCAAATAATTGAAGAAACTGACCTGAGTATCTTTAATGTATGATTCAGTTATAATGGGAACTTTGTGTGAATGATCTTCTATCTCTTGGCGACGATGACTGTGAGTTGCGGCAACTGCAAATTCATGTGAATTTGGCCTCGTCAGCGAGTGGCGCTGACATGAGCGTATAAAATAAATCACAGGAGATGAACTTGGTCTACAGTGGCGGGAAAGTGAGATAAAAGTGTCTTCTTTCATATAGAACACCGTCTGAATGATAACATGGGGAGACATTGTAATCCAAACTCACTTCCACCTCTCTGACAGTGGCTATTTTCGCTTGTGCACGTTTTGAAAATAGAGCGAAGCCGCAGAAAACGAAAACAGAGAGCTTGCATTGCAGTGCATAATTTTCTGGGCATGCAACATGACTTAAGAGCGGATATATCAATTCTGCACTTCCTTCGATTTTTGCCAAAAATCGCCGCTGGCACAAGCTCAAATCGATGAATTTTTAATGATGGCATAAATAGAATCCACGCCGAGATTCGGCATGTTTGGAGCATGTGCTGGGATACAAGTCTGGATGTCACGCTCAGTGTCGGGTGGCACTTCCTCGGCAACCGTCTCCCATCAGACGCTAAATTTACAAGAGAACGTATGTGCATGAATCCAATGGCACAATCACATCGGCAATTGGCATAAATACTCAAGCGTTTTTGACGAGTGTGGTTGGAATTTTCTTGTGGAACTCCACCACGAAATTGCTCCACTTGAGAGTTATATTTTCAGCGTGATGGACAGTCGGAAAAGTCACTGATATTTTCCGCATAAATATTTGGAGAAAGAGGAGAATGGGAAGATGTCAATGCTGACTCGCAGATTTTATATATTTTATTTCTCACGATGATGTCAATTTGTTTAGAGTGATGTCAAATTCCTAGGCCAGCGTATATC